CAAGCAAGCAAACACAACAATCAAACAAACAATCAAACAAACAAACAAACCAACAAACAAGCAAACAAACAAACAAACAAACAAACAAACGAAGAAACAAACAAACAAAACAAAAAGGAATCAAGCAAACAACAAACAATCAAGCAAGCAAGCAAGCAAACACAACAATCAAACAAACAAACAAACAACCAAACCAACAAACAAACAAACAAAGAAACAAACAAACAAACAAACGAAGAAACAAACAAACAAAACAAAAAGCAATCAAGCAAACAGAAAACAAACAATCAAGCAAGCAAGCAAACAAACAAACAAGCAAACAAACACAACAACAAGCAATCAAGCAAACAAAAACAAACAAGCAAGCAAGCAAGCAAGCAAGCAAGCAAGCAAGCAAACGAACAAACAAACCAACAAACAAACAAACCAACAAACAAACAAACAAACAAAGATACAAACACGCAATCTGAACACTCTTATTTTCAGCGTTGCCCAGCTCCAGGCCAAGTTTTTAAAGAAACATAGAAGGAGGTAACCTTGGCTGCGCCAATGCTTTTTGGGAACCCCAAAGAAGCACCAACCCAGAGGAAATGGTCCTCCCTTCTTCAAGGGGCATGGAACTTAGGGAAGTGGTTGGTAAGTGGTTAGTAAGTCTGGTTATATCTCACTTACCATGGTTACCGTATGAGATGCTCACCCATTGCTTTATGAGTCATTGGGTTGCTTCAACCTGCGCCGAACCTTGGCGGCGAGAGGCTTTTGCTGCATGGCCTTTTGCCTTGGTTCTTGGAAAGAGGGTGCTGCTAAGAAATGAGTAGCTTGGTTTTTTGCAACTCTAGGAAAAGCAGACACACAAATCAAATATCTAACAATAGTGAAACACCACAAATCAAAGATCTAAAGATAAGAAGGATGCTAAAACATCACAAGCCAAGGATCCAAAGACCCACATATCCATCACAAATCAAACATCCCAATATCCAAAACTACACCGACACGTCGCAAAGCGAAGATGCGGATGTTCCGGGCTTTCGCTGGGTGCTTCCAATCGCCAGGCCTGGATTGGCGCGGCGCCCAGGACTTGGCGCTGGCGCCTTGGAGATGAAGAAATTCGCCAAGTGGCGTTTTGGAGGAAGTTCCACGGCTTCCGGCTGAGACAAACCACATGAAGCGGATATGTTTTGACATGTGTAAGGGCGTGAGCGAGCGAGTGGGTGAGTGAAACATTCCAGGGGTTGATTCCAACCATTCTTGTTGGCATCTTTATTTGGTTGTTTAGTCCTTTGGTTCCGTTCATTTTTTGGGTTCGGGGGGCTGCAAAGAACAGTCAGTGGTTTGCCAGCCCATGCCCAAAATCGTCAGCTTCCGGTGGCTGAGAAAAAAACGCTAAACAAGGCTTCCGGAGCTCGGGCCCCGCAGGTTGGGTCTGTCTTTTTGGGAGTTGGTACTTTCAGTTGTGGGTGGTGTTTTCCTGGGAGAGAAAAAGGAAAACCGCCCATCCTTCTAGGGTTGATCCCCCATTCTTGTCAGCCCATGGTTCTTCTTCAAAAACCGGGCCGTCGTCCAGAAAGATTTCTGGTAGTTTTCGAGAAGGATCCCTGGAAAGAATGGAAAAGGGAGCTGCTGGAAAGGTGAGTTGGCCAGGCATGGTTGACATTGAGTTCCCCAAAAAGAGGTTCCCTGAACAGGGCTCCTCAAAAGATCTCCATTTTGCAACCATTTGAAACATGTGGCTTTTTCCACCAAAACAAAGGGACGCCACCATTTGCAAGGCAATGTTCAGGTGTATAATGTAAGGATCCCTGCTGAAGTGAAGTGGATCCTCAGATGGCAGTGTAGTAGCTGGATTGTTTCGGGCCGAGTAGCACCTGGACAATCAAACTGAGGGCAAGCCACAGGAAGCATAGGCTCTAGCAAATTCTGCTAAGGTGTTGGTTTGTTTACTGGGGGTAGACTTAGGATACATTTTACATGTTACCAGTGACTCCATGTGAAGCAAACAATAAGATATACATTCTATAACTGGGCCTAACTCTAACTAGACTCTAACCGTGTTTGGATGTTTTTTTTTTTTTTTATTTTATTTTTATTTTGACAACACGTAACATCTTGAAGTGACCATTTCTTCGCAGCCAGGTCCAGTTTTTGGACTTGAAGCTTGGCAACTTTTTGGGTGCGAAGCAGCTCCTTCCGAGGGGGACATGGACTTTTTGGGCTTCAGCCCACTCCCCCCCCCCAATCCTAATAGCATCTCGGGTTATATGCGAGGTTTATTCGGCTAGATGGTCTTTCTCACCGTGTCTTTTTTTGGGTTAGGGGAGGGTTTTTCTACTAAAACAGACCACAGAAGAAAAAAGTGGGTGCCCTTATTCTAGCCTCTCTACTGGTTTGGACCTAGGGCTTTTGGTCCTGGGTTCCCAGAAGCCCCAAGAAAAAGCAACCGCTCTCAAGCGGCCGCACTCCCAGGTGAAGGTTGAAAAGGTCCGATGAACCTGGGACGAGTACGGAAGACCGCTTCACAGATTTAAAAAAAATCAAATCACGTGGGAAAAAGACAAGTTACCCCTCACATTTTTTTTTTGGTTAAAAGAAAACACACATCACATGGGAGAATGGGAAAAGGGACGAGCTAACCCTTGGCCCAGCAAGATGCGTTTCAAGGTCCGGGGATCGGTTGAAAACCGCTTTTGGGCACCGGTTGTGACGTTCGTTTGGTCTGGTCTCAGGTGTGGCTGCAGGTGCTGTACTGCCACCTGACAGCGCTGCTTTCTTACCCGTGTCATGGCCGGAACGCACTGATCTGGGGGGTTGACAAGATCACCTTTTGCTTGGGGTGACGGTTAGGGAAGCCACTGGGACAAGAGGACTTTCAGCGCTATTATGGGAAAACTTGACCATGGTCATACCTGTGCAAGGGGGGAAGGTTAATGGTCAGCAAAGATCACCTTTACAAGGGCTGACGATTAGGGAAACCACTCGAAAAAGAGGACTTTCACCATGAGAAAACCATGGTCATTTTGGGGCCGAACGGAATATTGATCAACCCCCCTTTTTGCCTTTTTGTCTCCACAAGAAGTTGCCGACTAACATCAAACAAGCACGCCGCTTACCTTGTCACCACTTCTTCTTTTGTTTTGGTCTCTATGACCCTTTTCTGGTCATTTCCCGCGTTTTTCCCTCTTGAACCTCAAGCAAAAAGCCGCCAAGAGTGTGCCTTTCCGGCGCCTCGCGTCCAACGCCACGTCCGAGCCGCGAAGTCGGCGGCGGAGGTTCCTGGCCTTGCTCCTGGCTGCGCTGGGCGCCGCCAGCGAGCTGCTGCTCAGTGCCACGCTGGACGCTTGGCTTGCGTCGGATCCGAGGGGCGGTGAACGGGGGTGTTGGAAAAACCCATGGGGTGCGACGACCTTGTGCTGAGAAGGCTTCTTTCTTCTTTTTGAAAACCAACCAGCACGGGATGCCAAAGCATGTGCGCGCGGATTCGTTGTTCAAGAACGGATGAGCCAGATGGCTTGTGCGCTTCCTATGCTTATCGTCGTCGCACCACGGACTGCGGATTCACATGGCTCATGGAAAATGCCGAAGGAGAGCACAGTCCTGCGGGCCCTGCGGGGTCACACGTAGACATGCTCCAGGGAGAAACATGCGAAAGGCCACGAGGGGATCCTCCACGTCCCTTTGTGGAACCCCGAAAAGCAACCACCCATTGAAGTGCAACTTCTGAGGGGAGCTCCAGTGAACCCCGAATCTCCAAACCACCAATCCACCCTCGGTTCTTCAAAGCTGACCTTGCGCCCTTCCATTTTCGGTCGTCCCAAAAGGTTCCCCGCCTTGGGTCCTTGGGGGGAACCTCAGGGCCAACTCCCGAAAATTCCCCCGGCGAGATCTGTCAGGTGGGCGGCGTCGCCGTCGCGGTGTTGCTCACAGAGGGCTGCGGCATCTACCGGCTGATCCAGGACCGCATCGCCCAGGAGGCCGCGGGGAAGCATGCCAAGTCAAAATCGCCGAAGGAGGCGACTTTTTTGTGTTCTGCAGGTCCTATGGTCAAGGGTCCCCCAAGTGCACTTGGGGCCGAGGGCCAAGTGAGTTCAGCGACTAAGGGCCAATTTGGGGCTAGTAGAGTTCCTTTTCAAGGATTTGTCCCTCTTTGAGGGGTCCTCAACAACCATAGGACGCCCCAAACTCCAAGGATTGCCAGCGGCTTGGGAAGCCAGTGGCCCCAACTCGCCTTCTCAAAAATCGCCCTTCATAGGTGTCCTTTTTGTTTGGTTTGCCCAACAAATCGAAGGCCCTGGTTTACCTAGCGGTTTTTCCTCATCTACCAGGGCAACCCATCTATTTGCCCCAAACAGGACACCATTGTGCCGCTCTTTGTTGCAACCTTTGATTCTTCTTTGTTGCATGTTGCTTGGATGTTAGGACTGAACAACTTTTTGCCAACGAACTCGGGTTTTCCGTATTAAACCACTAAAAGTGAGTCACTTTTAGCAGGGCTTCGCAGATTTCGCCACCGAGTCTCTTTGGTTCAGGGGGGCCATAAAAACCGTCGGCCCAAACATCGCCAGGGGCCCGTGGCTCTGTGGTCCGGCTGGCTGCCCCACTTGCTGCTGCTCTACCTCCAAAGCCTGGTCTTCGGGCCCATCGCCGGGGCGTCTGGGCGGAAGGAAGAAGGGGGAGGAGTTGTTTTTGTTGGTCCTTTTTAGAAGGTTTGGGGGGATGAGTTTTTTGGTTTTGGGGGGGGTTCCCAGGTAAGAAGGGGGGAGGAGTAGTTGTTTTTCTTCTTCTTTTTTTTTCTCGGGGAGGGGGGAAGGTTGAACCTTCCCAGCTTTCCGGAGGGAGCCTTCCATCTCAGCCATTCTTTGCGCCTGAGCTCGAGCAGAACGCGTAACGGGCCGGCGTAGATTTGTGGGTCGAGTTGACGCAGCCAGGGGGGTCTTTTTGCCACCTTTGGTGGAAAATGATCGACCCCCTGGTAGTGAAGGATTCCTTTTTGAGGGGGTCGCCCATTTTCTCTCCAAAGGCAAAAACAACACCTGGACGCAGCTCTGGCAGATGATGGATTGCAGTGGATCTTGGATAGCCCTGGCGCTTGATGTGCGACGGACTCATCATGCTCGCATGCTGGTTTGCTAGGTTCAAGGCAACAGCGAGGAGCCTTTTCCATGTTGAAGAGTTTTCGTTGCTTTAGCACCAGGTGACGGATTGGTTCGCGAGGGTGTGTTTTTTTGTTCTCCCCGAAAGCATTGCGAAGGGTTCTTCCAGCACTTGCACAGAGAGTCGACGCATATGGTGGGCTAGTAGTCCTCGTTTCTTTCGGTCCAATATTGGTCAGAACCACCAGTGGAGCCATGGGAAGGTTATGACCAATGCCCTAAGTTCCCTTGCGAGTTGGCTAGGGATGGCTCCAGATGTGCATGTGTGAAACTAGGGTACCCCCAAAAATGGGTTGGTTGCCCCAACCAACCTGAAGATCGCCCTCAAAGAAACACGACAACTTTTGGAACCTATCTTGGTTGGCTTTCATAGGACACCAGCCATGTTTCAGATTCCCCCATGTTGCCCCGTGCAGGGCTTGGTTTTTTGATTAAAATAGGGGCCCCACCAACGGGTGGCTTTTCCCTTGGTTTCCTTGCACCAGCCCCAAAAAGCCAAAGCCAAAGCACGTAGGGCTGGTTTTCCTTTGGCTTCCTGTTTAGAACCAGCCAACAAAATGGTACCCTCCAACCCGCCCCCCCCCCCCCCCCCTATAAACTCGAGTAATTTTGATAATTTAGATCCCCCTGGGTCCGGGGGCGGTTTCGAATTGAGAATGGCGCGTGGACCAGGACCCCAGGGGGCGGCACTAAGGACCGGATTAGTTTTTTGTTTGTTTTTTGTTCGTTCCTTTTTTTTTTGTTTGTTTTTTGTTCGTTCATGATTTCCGTTTCGGTCCGATGAGCACCTGGTTCATGATTCCCTTTTCGCCCTCGGAGCGACAGTGCCTTTTTTTTTTTGCGGCCCCGCGCCGGCCCACGCGGCAGAAGCCGGGAGGACGGCTTTGTGGTGACAAGTGTGTTCAGCAGACCAAAGCAAGCGCAGGTGCTTTTGCTGCCATCCTGGACGACGACTCCGTGGTGGGTGGTTCGGGCTCACACCCGGGTGGAGCGGGCTCATGCCCGGGTGGTTCGGGCTCATGCACGGGTGGTTCGGGCTCACACCCGGGTGGGAGATCGTGTCCTTGGCGGTGACAGCAGCCAGGTGGGAGAGCAGTTGGCGCCAGCAGATCCAATCAACTCAGAGTGCTTATGCTGCCATCCTGGAGGACGGCTCTGTGGTGACAAGTGTTCAGCAGATCAAAGCAAGTGCAGGCGCTTCCTGGCCGACGGCTCCGTGGTGGGTGGTTCGGGCTCACGCCCGGGTGGAGCGGGCTCACGCCGGGGTGGTTCGGGCTCACGCCCGGGTGGTTCGGGCTCATGCCCGGGTGGAGCGGGCTCACATCTGACTTAGGGAGATTGTGTTTTTGGCGGTGACAGCAGCCAGGTGGGAGAGCAGTTGGTGCGCGTCCAGAGTGCTTTTGCTGCCGTCCTGGAGGACGGCTTTGTGGCGGCAGGTGTGTTCAGCAGATTCGAGCAAGTGCAAGCGCTTTTGCTGCCATCCTGGCTGACGGCTCCGTGGTGGGTGGCTCGGGCTCACGCCCGGTGGTACGGGCTTCCGGCTCGGGCCCGGTTGGCGTGGGAAAATGGGCCCTTTCGGGGCGGTAACGCGCTGACTTCCCCCCTTCCTCCCCTTGTTTGTTCTAGCTTTTGGCTGGCAATGACGCATGCAGAGCCAGTCCCGGGCCTGATCCCGAGCGGGCCACCGCTGGGGGGAGGCTGCCCGGTTTGTGGCTCTGGTACACCAGAAGCTGTTTCTCTCTCTCTCTCTCTCTCTCTCTCTCTCTCTCTCTCTCTCTCTCTCTCTCTCTCTCTCTCTCTCTCTCTCTCTCTCTCTCTCTCTCTCTCTCTCTCTCTCGAACAATTTAGATAACCCAATCGGACAAATCCATGACGCAAAAAGGAATTCTTGCAGTCATTCCATTGCAGGTCGCTCAGTCATTCCATTTTTTTGCTGTGTCGCCCTGGACACGGCCCAAGTCACCGCCCAATTCACCCCCTCTCACACCTTCCTCCCCCCCTCCCCTCCTCCCCCAGCCCCTGCCGGCGCGCACTGAGGCGCTCTTCGGCGGCCTGGAACTCTTCGTGGCGTTGAAGCTGGGCCTCGGCCTGGCCACCGCGGTGCACGAGGTCTGCCCCAAGCCCAAGGCGCGGGCCGGGTCCCCGAGGAGGGGAGGAGAGGAGGGGGAGGGAGGGGGGGAGGGGAGGGGGTCCCCGAGGAGGGGAGCGTTTTTTTCTTAATATATATATATATACTGTATATATATATATACATATATATATATATATATATATATATATATATATATTTGGGAGGGAGGCTCCGGAAAATCCAGCCCGGGCCGGGGGGGGCTTCGGTGGTGAATATGGGCAGGTTGTCGCTGCGAAGCCTGTGGGCTTAAAGCAACTAGTTCGAGAAAGTCTCATTTTTTGAGAAAAGTGGGGGAGGGTTCCCTTGAAACCATCAGGTAAAAATCGGGTCATTTTGAGGACTTCATTGTCATGGACCCAGTTTCGGTCGCTGAAAGATGGGATTGAAGCTAGAAGTTTCAGTTGCGAACGCTTCCCGACTTGACTGCTCCCATGCAGATGAGTCCACCGCAACCCTCAGGTAACACATCGTACTCAGATTGAATTGGGACTCCACTAAAGATCTCTATGTTCATGACAGCCCATGTTTCCTGAAGACTAGAGTGCTGCTGGCAACCTTGCTTCCCTTTTCTGGAAGTGTGGCAACCCATGTTCCTTTTTGTGAAGACTCAGGCCTTTTTTTCCCGCCGAATCCGTCCCCTCAACAGGACGCAAGGCCGCGTTTGGGTTGCAATTTACGGGGTGTCATTTGGCTGTGTCTCATCTTGAGGGTGCTGGTGAACACGAGAAAGCCGCTCTTTTTTGATTGGCTCCCCGATTTTAAGACCTCATGTCTCAAATGAGACGCCGAAAAAGACTCTTTGGAGCCTGCCGCAGGACAAGTCGGGTGGAAGTCAACCCGCCTCCCCGGAGCTTTGGGCGGACTTTCTGATGGCTGCGCGCCTGGGCCGAATTCGCAGCCTTCGGAGCCCGACCACTCGGCGAACTCGCCCTGTTCGAAGCCCGGTATTGCCCTCATGTCCACGTTTGGCAGATTCGAGCATCACAAGTGTCGGGGCTGCTGAAAGGCGAGTTTCCTTTGGTACGGGGTGATACTTGAAGGGCATGAACCCTGAATCCAGTGGATATGAGGTTGGGTTGTCGACTCTTGACCATCCTTTTCCTCCGACCTGTCTGGCCGGAAGCCATTCCCGGGTGATGCAAATTTGGGCAAACCATGCGGATCGAGCTGAGCATACGGTGACCGTAAATGGGTCTGAAATGGGTTCCTCTCGTACGCCATACACATGATTGCCCTTTGGCGCAAGGAACCCATTTTTCCATTCATCCTTGAGTTTTGGGGTTGCCTTGGCTTAAACCGGTTCCACATGTCCCAAAAAAAAGAGAGGCACCGTGTTCGAAGGGACCCCACTCCCAGGTTCGGTGTCCCGCTCAAAGCGCGACTCCCAAAGTTGCGACGCTGAGTTGGTTCAGCTTGCGCTTCTACTCCCAGAAGGCCTGCGCCACCGCGCTGCTGCTCAGCGCCTGTTTGGGCACGGCGCTGGCCTGGCACTTCGAGCCTCAGAGGAAAGCTCGCGCTTGAAGCGCGAGCCGAGGGTTTGACGGTTTGTCCCCCAGAGGTCTTGAGACATGGAATGGGGCTTTGACAAGAACCATTCAACTGGTGGTTTCCTTAAAAGGAATCCCCGTCCAGTCCATGCCCAAAACCCGGAAGGTCCTTCCTTGAGAACCAGCAGGAAAATAGGGACACCGAAAATGGGTGGGCTCCCTCCGAACATGGGCTTTTCTTGATTCATCGTATTGGACATCCCCGTTAATGGACATGTTCGGAAATCCTTGCTTGGGCTTATTGGCTAGGACTGAAAGAAACAGTCCATTTTTGTTCAGGCCCTTCCATTGACTTGGTGGTTCGCAAAGTCAATCGGTTCCTGAGGTTTTGAGTTGTTAGTTGGTTTCGTGGTGGGTGTCCCCCTGGGTTTTTGACCCTTTGGCTTTCCCCTTCCCATTTTTCGTGGCCCGTTTCCTCGTCGGTCGCCTCGGTGTCCTCGCATTTCCACAGCCGCCAGAGGAAGGATCCACCTGCAGCTGGAGGGGGGGACTTAAGAACATGTCTGCTCAGCACTCAGCAGCCCGGTTCCTTAGGTGTTTAGCTGTTTGGTTTTGTTTCCGACTTTCACCCACAAGTTCAACCTTTAGCAGGGGAGCTGAGGACCAGTTGAACCTTCGATTTCCAGATCCCAAAAAGGCAACTGAGGCTTATTTTGGCTTGTTTACAAGATGTACCCTTTGGCCACCTTGTTCCAATGGAAGTGGGTAGCTGATTCGTTTTGTCGTTAGACACCATTGTGCTGATGTTTGTAGTGATGTGGCCCCTTATTCCTTGGATGGTCTTTGATTCAAAGGCCCAAAGCACCGTTTTCGCTGTTTGCCCCGATGGCCCACGTCTCTCTTTTATCCTTCGCCTTTGTCATGCTTGTTGTTGGGAAACATTTTACCTTTTTGCTTATTGTGGTTTAGTGGGACATCCCCAGTTTTGCTCCCCTTCCAACGTCAACCAAGTCGGATCGCCGTCAACCAAGTGGTGGGCTAAAGGGAAACCACCCCGGGTTCCGACTTCGAACACCCTTACCTTTTTGCCTATTCTGGTTGAGTGGTTGAAATTTCCAACCACCCAACCGCCAAAGATTCTCTTCAATTTTTTTTGCTGCCAACCAAGTCTCTGGTCGCCGCTCAAATTTTGCCCGGCTGAGGAACACCTGGGCCCGGCGAAGGGCGGGGTGGCGGTGTGCCAGCACGTCTGGATGCAGGACATCTCCTGCGGCCGGGGGCCCCGGCCTTCGGCCGAGCTCGGCCTCGGGCTCGGGCGGTGGCCTCGGGCTCGGGCGGGGGGGCCTCGGGGAGGTGGAAAAGGCCCATCCATTTCTTGGGGGGTCGTGGCGGAAGAAAGGCCGGCAGGGACCCAACTCTTTTTGAGTTTGTTTGGTGACCCCAATTTTTTTCGGTTTGAGTCGCGCGCTTTTGTGGGTGGTAAGCCTTCTCAGTTCGTGGTTTGGATGGATTTCAGGGTGAGCTTTGGTTTCAGCTTCCACCTGGTGGTTTGGTTTGGTGGTTACGTTAGGAGCTACCTTCCCCCAAAAGGAATTGGGGTGCAAATGGGTATGGCTCAAAAAACCGGTACCAACATGGAACAGTGGTAAGTGGAAACACAGACCAAAACCTGCGTAACCCTAGCTCTGTAATTTTGAGCCACTGCCAAATCCCAAACCACCAAACCAAGCCACCAATCAGCTTGGAAGCTGATGGGAACTGGATTTGGGTTCGAACCCCTGAGTGTGAAGGGGAAACAACCAATCCCCTTCACCGGCAAAACCACCAAACCAAGCCACCAATTGTGGGGGAAGCTGATTGTTGTCTCTCTGTATAAGAATCACTGAGGCTCACCCTGGATCATATTACAAGTCTTCGATCTTTGACCTTGATCCTTTTTCTTGATGGCTATGTTTGTGGCAAACAACATGTCTGGGCCTTGTTTGGTGAATCCACGGCAACACAATGATCCCTTATGTGGGGAACCCAAGTGGGCAACTCCAAACCAACAGCGCTTTCGGAGTTGATTCAAAAGGTCCCAACCCCCAACCACACTCAATTAGACTGTTTTTTTTCTTCTCCGAGGCCTTAGGCCTTTTGAGGACCCTTGAAGTCATGGAGGCTGGGGAGGGAGGCCCTTATTAAGCCCTTAATAAGGCCTTATTTAGGGCTTATTTGGACTCCCTCCCCCTCCCCTCCCTCCCCCCCAGCCGCCATGATGGAGGGCAGGTGCTGGGAGTTCTTGCGCGAATGCAGAGAGGCAGCCGGTCATTTTCAGGGGACTGTTTCGGGACACGCGCGCTCGTTTTTTGCTTGCAAGATGAGCTTGCGACTGCGGCCAGAACTGCCAATGTTGCTGATGATCCTCCATCTGCTGAAATGACTATTTTTTAATTTTCAATTTTCCCTGGTTGGTTTTGAAAGGAATGCATCACTACTGGACATGTTTCCTCATTTTTTTTCCTGGGGCCTTAACCACATGGAAGTGATGGTTCTGTGTGTGCTGTGGGTGTGGCGGTGCTGGGAGCGGCTCGGGTGGAACGGGACGTCCGAGGCATGGTCTTCGCGCCGGAGCGCGGGGTGATGGTGGCTGGGCTGGCCATCAGCGCGCTACTCTTCCTGTCGAGCAGCCGCTGGGCGAACTTGGTGGAGGAACTCGCGCCGACTTGCGGGCGGCTTTTGGGGCTTTGTTTGAGACGTTGCTCGGGCTCCCAGCCATGCCCTTAGCTGGCCTGAGCTTTTTAGCTTTTTAGCATTTAAGCCACTAAAAGTGAAGCTTTTAGCGGATCTGAGCACAGCCTTTGGGTATTTGGTTGAAGCTCGGCCATTTCTCAGTGCCGAGCCTAGAACAGCTGCCAGCTCATCTCACCTTTCCTACCTTTTGGCGATGTATTTGTTTGGAAGAGAAGACCTCATTTCGTCTCCCTTCCGGTCTTGCTGGAAATAGATCTTCTTTAGACATAGACATATCTTGTTCCACGCCAATGTTCGGAAGACATTCTTCTTACTTTCCTGCCCCGGACATGTGCCGTTTTGTTCCATGTTTGGAACAGCATTGGCTCCTCACAGGTGAACGTAGATGGCCCAACCTCCCCAATTCGGTTTTGCCATCCTTTCCTACAACTCCAAGGGACTAGTGCCATCCACTTTCACATCTCCAATTCTTGGCTTCGTTCTTTTCTTTCAATCCATCCCAACAAGCGGAATGTTTGCTTTGGAGGGTACCTCTATTCTGTGGGTTTTCAAGGGAACCAGAAGGAACATCGTCATTCTTGGGGGGTCCGATTCCCAAAAAAAAAACACACCCGCCTAGGCTTTGGCGGTTCCCAGCCATCCCTTTGACCTTTTCGCTTTTGTAGTGTGGTTGGGCTTCCAAACTCAACAAATCCACAAAAGGTGTTTTCTTTTTTCAACTTGTAGCCGGGGGGATCAGTTTGGACAACACTCCAAAGCGGTAGCTCCGCTTGTGATCCGTTACTTGTGGGCATAAACCCCCATGCTGAATGAGGCCAATAAAGGGGTCGAGTACAAAACATACCCAAATGAAACCGCCAAACTTGCGGTGGTTTCCCTTGAGTTTCTGTTTGAACCAACCCCACAAGGGTCGACTACCAAAGAAAAGTTTCCACCGAAGCCTCGTTATTTCTTCTTCTTTTTTAATACTTATATATATATATATATGTATATAAATGAATAAATTAAATCAATAAATAAATAAATACATACCTATATATATATATATGTATATATATATATATATATATATGTATATATATGTTTCTCGAGCGCGTGGGCCGGAAGCTCGGAAGGCTACTGGGCCCTGAGCTTCGCGGAGGAGACGGGCGCGACGCTGCTGAGCGCCATGGGCTTCCCCTGCTCCGCGGGGGGCCCGAGTGGGGGGAAGCTGGGGGTGGGGGTGTGGGAAGTGGGAAGTGGGGGGGGTGGGGGGGGTGGGAAGTGGGCAGGGGGGTTGGGGAGTGGGGGGGGGTGGGGAGTGGGGGGGGGTGGGCAGGGGGGGAGGGGAGTGGGGGGGGTGGGGAGTGGGGGGGGTGGGGAGTGGGGTGGGGGGGGGTGGGGAGTGGGGGGGGTGGGCAGGGGGGGTGGGGGGGGGTTTGGGGGGGGTGGGGATTGGGGGAAGGGTCTTTTTGCCAGCTTTGGTGAGAGAATGGGCGACCCCCTCAAAAAGGAGTCCTTTTCCAAATAGAAAGGGGTGGATGATTTTTCATTAGGTGGCAAAACACCCCCCTGGTTGGTTGTGGGGGGAGTGGGGTGGGGTGGGGAGTCGGGGGCTGGGGGGCGAAACCCCAAATCGACATCACCAACGGAGAGTCACATGAACTGCGATGGATCAAAAGTGCGGATGCCCTGCGAAATATGGGGGGGGGGGGAAACAACCTCACAAGGGCGTGCCGACCCAAATTCACGTTCATATCCAAGTGGAAAACTCCTCGCGGCTGGTCCTTTCTCGTTTTCCTTTCTGCCCGTCGCGAGTGAAAGGATGAAGCCACAGGCCGGAAGCACATCTTCCATTTGCTGAAAGGAATCTTTTATATTTTCCCCTGTTGGTTGAGGGGGAATCGATTTCACTGGACATATTTTCTCTCATTGTCTCCAGGGGACGAGAAAGCAAATGACTCACAATCCAAACCCGGGTAGATGAAGGTAAGGGACGATCCTAGCCATAAATAGCTGCGGATCTACGCCTTCTAGGTTCTTGAAGCATGGTTCTGGGATTACGGCCATTTTTGATACCGAATCGGTTTTGATTGCAAGTGACTCAAATGGGGTCGTGATGGGTTTGGTTTCCCCTACGGGTCTCAAGTTTGCCATGCGCCATCAAGTTCCATGTGGTATGCCTGGCTCCCAAGGGTCTCCATCCGAGTTTTTTCAACATGGCCCCGCTTCTCCCTGTGGCTAGTTGGGGTGTCGGATCTTCGGACTTGAAAACTAGACCACGGTTGGCCCGAAAGCATAACATCGCAAGCGAGGTCGGCCCAACGCTGCAGGATGCGTTCTTTTTCCCTCCACGACGCATTTGTGAAGCAAGCGCGAGGCAGCACCAGGCAAGGTGCTCTGCGCAAACTGGTCGGTGCAAGTTGGTCTGCGCAAGTTGCTCTACGCAAGTTGCACTGTGCAAGTTGCTCTGCGCAAGTTGCTCCGCGCAAGTTGCTCCGGCAAGTTGGCCCCTGCAAGTGGCTCCCTGCAAGTTGCTCTGTGCAAATTGCGCTCCCTGCAAGTTGCTCTGTGCAAGCTGCTCTGTGCAAGTTGCTCTGTGCAAGTTGCTCTGCGTAAGTTGCTCTGCGCAAGTTGCTCTAGGCAAGGCGCTCTGCGCAAACTGGTCGGTGCAAGTTGGTCTGCGCAAGTTGCTCTGTGCAACTTGCTCTGCGCAAGTTGCTCTGCGCAAGTTGCTTTAAAATGCAAGTTGCATCTTGCGACGCCCGCCCGCGGACCAGGGAGGAATCGAACCCGCGACCCGCCGGTTCCGGAAGCAGGCGCGCGAACCACGAGACAACTCCCGAGGACCAGTTCGAACAACAAAAGTCGCAAAAAACCTCGAGTTTTTGCACCTCGACCACGCCGATTCCCGCAAAGGGTTGCGCCAGCACCGCAGAAATCGCAAAAAACCTCGAGTTTTTGCACCTCGACCACGCCGATCCCCGCAGAGGGTTGAGCGGGCACCGCAGAAATCGCAAAAAAACCATGGGTTTTTGCACCTCGACCACACCGATCCCCGCAGAGGGTCGATTTTCGTGTAGTGTCGTCGGCACTACCCCGCCGCCCTAAGAAGAGATTTTAACTCCTCGCAAGTCAATTGCACTTGACTCCTTGCGCTTGCAACTTGCACTTGGCCCCTTGCACTTGCAACTTGCACTTGACTCCATGCACTTGCAACTTGCACTTGACTCCTTGCACTTGCAGCTTGCACTTGCTGCTTGCACTTGCAACTTGCAATGACTCCTTGCAATGACTCCTTGCAATGACTCCTTGCAATGACTCCTTGCAATGACTCCTTGCAATGACTCCTTGCAATGACTCCTTGCAATGACTCCTTGCAATGACTCCTTGCAATGACTCCTTGCAATGACTCCTTGCAATGACTCCTTGCAATGACTCCTTGCAATGACTCCTTGCAATGACTCCTTGCAATGACTCCTTGCAATGACTCCTTGCAATGACTCCTTGCAATGACTCCTTGCAATGGCTCCTTGCAATGACTCCTTGCAATGACTCCTTGCAATGACTCCTTGCAATGACTCCTTGCAATGACTCCTTGCAATGACTCCTTGCAATGACTCCTTGCAATGACTCCTTGCAATGACTCCTTGCATTGACTTTCATGATGATGATTCCTTGCAATGACACCTTGTAATGACTCTCATGAGAACAACTCAAGTGAACCCAGCGGAAGAACCCTTCGCCATGCTTTCGGGAAAACTGTTGGCAGAAATCAAGTTGGGTTTTCCCAATTGGGTTTCTGGCAAAAAGCTGAGAGCACTTTTTGCAGGGAGGGTCGTTGCAGCAACCTACTCTGACTTGGCTTTGCTTAGCTTACACCCAACCCTGAAAGGGTAGAGGGTCCACTGAAAAGATTTAACACGGGTGCCGAAAGCCGGAACATCTCAAGACAACTGGACTTTAAGCTTTTTTTGTGAAACAGCTTGGATTTTCCAAAACGGACCTCTGCAAAAAGTCAAGCACTTTTTGCAGACGGGTCATTGAGCAGCCAAGACAACGACCATGCGGAAAGGGAAATTGTGGAGGTGCTGGGAGTATGCTGCGGCGTGGGCACCGGCATCTTCAGCCTCGAAAAAAGCGAGCTGGCGCACGGCTTGCTACTTGGCAAAACCCCTCAGGTGTCCCCACCCCCTTCAAATGGAACAAAGGGGGAGGGGGGATTTCGACCCCTGGAGATCTCCATTTATGGTGAGCCATCTCCCATTCTTTTTCTGGAGAAGACTAGGAAAATGGAATTGGGGGAGCCCCCACCCCCCCCTTACGGTAGGGGGGGATCTACAGGCGCCTTTTTTCAGCGGTTTGTGCGGTTCTACCAGGAAACCGTTGCGCCATTTTGGGGGGCCTAAGCCGCGGCATTTTGGGCGGGGAGCGGGGGTTGTGAGGCTGCTGACCTTCTTCGCGATCTTCCTCACGGTGCCCGTGGTGGCAGTGACCCGCAGGGCAGGAAACTGGGGGCTTCTCGAGAAGGGGCTTTGACTCTCGAGACCAAATGGCCGCGTCTTGCGTCTTGGACCCCTCCAAAAGGGTGGGTTCCCCTTTGGTTTCCCTTTAACCCCCCTCACCCAAAAAAGCAAAAGCGGGCTCCTGCACAAAAACAAAACCGACAGTGGTAGCCTTTGGTTGAGTTTGGTGTTGGCTCGTTTTTCTATTTCCGGGGGGTGCACAAAGGTTCCGAGGCCGTTGGGTCCGGCCTGGCACGTATCTCGTTGCCTGCCCGAAGCCTTCCGAAGGCGAGGTACCAAGACCCCTGGTTGGTTCGCCGCGATGCCCGGGTCCTAAAGTTGCTGCCAGTTTTTCTCCTGAAAGCCAGTGGTCGATGTTCAACATTGGTTGTATGTTGGTTGAAGTCTCAGCCAAACTGCCATTCTCTAGTGGGACTTGCCCCATTCTCTAGGGCTGGCGCAAATCAATTCCCATTCAACTAGCAAACTACATGGGCTTGTTTTTATTTTTGGATACCCCCTGCAAAGTTGTGTTTTCAAAAAACACCCCACAAGCACTCCGGCCATTCTTTTCTTGGGGTTTCTATCTTAAGACACCCCGACCAAACTCATCCGCCGACGTCTGGCCCGAAATTTTTCCGGCTGCGCATGTCTGTCTTCCAGGACGCTGGGCGGTGTGTACGGCGGTGCTCACGGGCGTGTGTATCGCCGCCTACCTGGCCTTGAAGCTCGGCATTTGATTCGGTGTGGCTCAAAATTAAACGATCGGAGGGGCAAGCCGCAGGTGTTGGTCCTTGTTTCCACCTACCAGGGCAAGCCATTTTGGTACCGGTTTTTTTTGAGCGACGGACATTTGAATATGGGATGGGGACGAATTCCTCCGACGCCAGCTGGCTGGTTTCGTTGTTGGGGAAATCCCGAAACAAATCCCGTCACTCGCAAAAAATGCCCCCGCCATCGGCGATTTGTTTGTGACAAGTCTGGGATCAACACAAGCTGGTTTGGTTTGGTCTCCTCTTAAAACCCGTCGAAAGGGACACCGAATTCTTCTTCTACCGCGAAGGCTCAAGACCCGTTTTCTCATGTGCAAAACCATCCCGAGCCGCCCGTTCAGCCAAAAGTTTGAGCCCTGTTGGGTTGTTGGGTTGTTGGGCCGGGCTGGGCCGCCCGCCCCTTCCCTTTGTCATTTCAAGGAGCCTCTTTGGAAAGTGGGGAGCTGGGGTCTGGGAAGGCCGCTACCCCAGTGGCACCGTGGAAACGCAGCTCTCACCAGCGGCTACAACGCTCAGTCCCAGCGGCAAAGCATATGAAACAAGGCGGCGGCATGTTTTTTTCAAGAAGTGGACCCCTTTGCCTTGGAAGGGAAACCGAAGAAATGAGCAGCTTGCAATTGGCATGTTAGTTTGGGCAATGTGCGCCAAGCAAGGCAACCACGCGCAACAGATCAACATATGTTCCGCATTTTTCCGAGCAGATGGACAAACACCGTTGCTTGGGTTACTGTACGTGGGCGTTGTCTTTTTTAGGTTTTGAGGGGTCCCCCTTTGCCTTCGAGAGGAGCGTGGAATCAACACATCACCAGTAGAGAAATATCCTGTTGACCCCATTTTTCGGGCTCCATGGGGAGAACCATGAAGGGGGATCATTTGGAGACAAGCCCCCACCGGGGGTTTTGTGTTCCGCGAACCCCCACGAATTGCCTTGCCAACCCACGCTCACCGTCTTAGGTCGAAGCTTTCTGGACCCCGGCCCGTACCGCTTGGGGATTTCAAGGTTGTGCTGACAAATTCCCCCCCCCCCCCAGCCCCCCAGCTCCCCCCATATCTTGGTTCAGCTTGACCCCAAAGATGGGGTCATGTACTGGGCAAGTGTCAAACTCATGTCTGTCCGAGGTCCGAAACAATGTCTGTTGTCCCCTGGCCAAATGGGTGTGGCTCAAAATTGAACAGCTGGGGTTACGCAGGTTTGAGTCTACCTTTCTATTTGCCAGGGTTCCACTTTGGATCCCCATTTTTGAGCCACAAGCAAGTTCTTATAAACTAGTAGAAAACCGCAGGTTTTAGGTACCTATTTGTTGACCCACACGCAAATATTAATGCGCCCAAAGTTCCCCTTGGTTTCCTCAGGAAGTTTGTCCGCTGCGTGGTGGGGGTGCGAGACATGTGGATCAGCGAGCTGGCCTCAGTCTTCGAGTGGCTCACCATGATCTGTCTCTGCGCCCATGTGTGGGCCTGGCCTTTTCCGGCCTGAAGGTGAGAAGGCCCAGATAATTCTTTGGTGCATTTTGCTTGGATGCTAGGACTTTAACTTTTTGCCAACTAATGGGTTTTCCACTAAACCACTAAAAGTTAAACTTTTAGCAGGGGAGCAGAAAGCAACCGATAATTGGTTTGGTGTGGTTCGGTGCAAAGAGGGGGGTATGTGTCAAAGATCTGGGGGCCAGCTTCGGGGTTCTTTTTTTTTTGGGGGGGGGTTTGCGATTGAACCAAGGGAAAAGAGCACACGCAAAACACAGACTCACAGATATTGCTTCAGAACATCGCCCGTGGCCGATGGCTGGGGAGTGGCTTTTCAAGTGCAAAGTTCTAGTAGGTTGCCTCTTCTCAACCCGGCCAAGCCGCGATTCCGATTCCCAGCAGAGAGCGTTGCGGATGAGAAAGGAGGGCGTTGGACGCAGTCGGAGAGGTCAGGTCCTCAGAGGGTGGTTTGGATTGGTGGTTTGGGGGATTCCCACCACTCTTTACTTCCATTTGCTCAAGAACATTTGTTTTTTCCCTTGTTGCTCTTAAAAGGATTTTTTTCACTACTGGACATTTTTTCCAGGGGTCTTAGCCAAATGGAAGTTTAGGTGAATGGGGAACCCCCGACTTGAAACCACTAGTCACTGGGATCAAGACAAATCCCCACAGGGTGGTTGTAAAGGGGGGGACAAAGGACACTCTTGAGGGGTCAGTTCCGTTTTTTTTGAGACAAGCGAGCGAGCCATGAAGCAGGATCCTCACTCCCACCCCTACCTCCTAGGTTCACGAAATGGAATGGACCCTGGATATGTGGGGAGTTGTGAGTATGTGTATATATATATATATACATATACATATATATTTATATATATACATATATATATATATATCCACCCCCTCAAGAAGGGAACAAGGAGGGGTGACCCCTTTTCTGGGGAAGACTAGACAACTGGGGGGACTCCCCACCCAACTCCTCGTTGTGGTAAAGGGGACATATATATATATATATGACACACACACACCCGCATGTGAAGGCTCAATCTGAACTCCAAGGTTTGCGGGAACACGGTGATAGCTGTGGTCTAGTTTGCTGTTCTGTGATCATGACAACTACAGTACCATTTGGGGGCGTCTTCCATGGAGGGTTCCCGCTTGCCAGGTTCTCAAGCAAAGCACAGGGAACCCACCCTTTGTAGAGTTTGTATCAGGCTATTCAGGGCCTATTCATCCTTACACGGTCAAGGTCTGTTCAGAATCGCTGTCGGCATCGTCCGGCGCAGGCCTCTGATGCATAGCCAGCTTTGGGGTCTTTTCGGCTCGCAATGGATTTCCGCGCAAATCCGATTGCAGCGGTATCTTATTTCACATATATTTGTGTTTCCTGGCTGGGGGTGATGGCTTCGCAGCGCTTTCCCGCACGGAGCCATCCAAACCTAGCCACAGGCTCTGGAGCGCGGAAGTGGGGTTGGCGTTGTACATGGGACAGGTTCCGTGTCAAGCTACCGTGTCTGCCCGCATGTTTGGCTTACTTCACTTCGCAACTCCCTGTGGAGTTCTTCTTCCCACGGGGAGATTCTGGGCCGTGAATTCGATTAATTCGGCCTCCAATGCCTGGAAGCCGCCTGTATCTTTACCCGGGAATTGCCCTTGCAGACGCCCTCGCAGAGGCCGGGATTTTCTCCTGATCCTTGAGCCTCAACTGCGAGTTCCGCGGGTTTCGGGGCGACGCGGCTTGCGGATGCGTTGAAACGTTGAAATGCGAAGCTAAGCCAACTTGGCTGCCTTTGTTTGGGTACAAAAAGGGTCATAAACCCGGCGAACCCCAGTCAGAAGGTTCCACATGTGCCCTCCCAGCAATTCACATGGAACCTGACAGGGGGGGGTCCGGTTTAAAAGGAGAATGGGCCAAACCAGGACGCCCACGTCGAGTTCCATGTTAATTGGTGGGAAGGTACAGCACTTCCGCCTTCTTTTTTCTCCATGCTTCCCCCAGACGAGAGGCCTCCCTCGGACGATGTCTTCCGAATGTGGCAAGGGTTTTTTGTATTGTATTCAATTGGTACATGTTTTCTTCCTGGATACTCCAAGAATACCTAGCTAGAAGCACGGTTGTGTCGTGGGCCGATTCGCCACCCAACCGATTCGCCACCCAACCGATTTTTTGGAGTTGCCATTTGAGATTCAGTGTGATGGTTTGAACGAACCTCGGAGATTTTGTTGCAGCTGTGGCCCGGTTGCGCTCGTCTTGCGGCCCTCCCGTCCTGTGAGCCGGTGCCATATTCAGCTTCTGGCCTTCAAGCGACGGCAGGGGGACGTGGGCAAATCAGACGACTATCCACAAAGAAGTCGCCCTCGCACACCGCGGAAAAGTTCAAAGGGACGTGCCCGAACAAATACGGGTAGGAACTTTCAGGGAGTTTTGGTGGATCTAGGGGATTCATGTCCACCACTGCCCTATCTAAATTAATAGCCATATGATTGTTTGAGCCATTCTTCTAGAAAAGGGTTTGGATGTGGCTTGTGTGGATCCACCCATGTGGAATATTAAACGAGTACTGAAAAAAAGTACCAAAAGAGGACCAGCTGGAAAAACCTGTGAACCCAATCCAATGGTCCAAGCCACAATCGCTAGAGGGCAACCACAAAGAGGACTCCTTAGGTGGGTGTGTCTTTTCTAGGCCATTCTAAGGGAAGACAAGCACGGCATACGCGACCTGAGCAAAACGGCCATCGCGGACGCGAGATCTCGGCAGCAGAGCAGCGGAGCGAGCGCCATGTGGTGACATGGACGAGGATGTGGATGTCTACTTCGCCCAGCACGACATCCAAAGCGTTGTCAGCGACATCTTGTGCCCATGGATCAATGTTGCTGGAGAGTATACTTGTTTTCCCTAGAGAAATCAACATTCAAACATCGTCGTGGTTCCCCTCTGAGGGGCCAGAGTCTGGCTTGCACGCCGATTGTGCACAAGTAGATTCCCGCACCCCTGAAATGTTGCCGGATTTTCTCCTGATTTCCCCCTTTCAAGCAACTACAAATCCACTCACTCGTTGTCCATCCGTGGCAATGCAACTTGCTTTCTTCGAGCCAGTTTCGGAGCCATGGATCAGCATCTCCAATACTTGAGCTTTTGAATGTTGGAAGCTGGGGTCTCGCTTGTTCAGCATTTTTCGCCAGTATGTTTTTGCCAGTATGTTTTTTTTGGAATTGGGCGCTCTTTGGGGTCTGCGAATCTAAATCCGAGATATTTTTTGCGGTCGAAGTGCGAGATGTGGGCAGAGGAAGGCGCCCCCTAGAATTCTACTGATGGTTCTCCATTTCCCCTTATATATATATACACATACATATATATATATATACGTATATATGTATGTACGTCTATATGTATTTATATATATATATATATCCTTGCGGGGGGATGTTGAAGGGACGAAAGGACGAGAGCCGGGGCCGGCGCGGTCTGTGTCTTTGGGAGGTCTGCGGGGCCGTTTGATCAGATCCCCGGCTGGCCCAATGAGGGCGGAACTGCTGAGAACGGGGTGGGGCATGGTTGTTGTTGGGACACGTTTTACCCTCTTTGCTGATTGTGGTTTAGTGGTTAAAATCCAACCACTTGACTGCTAAAATTTAGGTTTTTGCTCCCCTTCCAAAGTCAACCAAGTGGGAGGGGGGGGGTACCTTGTTTAGTCATGATTGTAGCAGAAGACTATTTCTCATAAAGAACAACAAAAAATACCGCCCCTTGAATTAAACGGACTTCTTTCACGGACTTCTTTCTGCGTCATGGAGGTAGGATGCAATGCTGCATTCCGCAAAGGAAAGTACGAAGCCAGCGGCGGCTTTCGTTCTCCGCCCTCTTGGCGTGTCCAGATGGGTCCCGCAGACAAAGGGTTTAGGGGGTTGAACGGTTTCTCCTGCGTTCCAGCAGGGGGGGAACTCCCACCCAGAAGGTCCCCCTGGCCAAACCCTTCCCCGAAAAAATGGGGTTCCCGCTTGACAGGATGTTGGTGTGTCCTTGCTTGATTGGTGTACCATTTTTTCTTCGTTTTTTTTCTCGGAGCCCAGAAGGAAAACCGTTGCGCCATTTTGCGCCATTTTGGGGGTCCGATGCCTGCAAACAGTTGGAGTTTATCAGGGCACAGGAAGCAAATGGGTGTGTCTTTTGTTGATACCCCCCCAAAAAGAAGAAAGAAAAGACGCAGAAGAACAGACAAACAGAAACAAAACAAACAAGGTTTGACAAAGATGTGGTTTTCCCGTTGTTCGGGAAAACCAAGCGCAAACAAGAAGTACCACAAAGAAAGAGACACCCACATGTTTTCTTTTTTAGGGAATCCCTGGGGGGGGGGTGGTCTAAGGCTCCCTAAGTAGCCCGAAGGACGCCGAAATGGGCTCTCAACTTTTCACCCTCCCCCCCCCCCCAACGGTACCTTCCGAGATGGAATTCCATGGCTACCGTATTTTAGGGAGCCGCCTCAAAAGTGTTTGGACATACTGTGGATGGACGCAATCCGTTCGCACCACTTTGAAACCATGGGAAACCCTTGTTTGTTGGTATTTACAAGGGAATCATCATTGCAGGTAGTACTGAGGCTGGTTGCGAAGCCTGGTTTATGATTCGCGGAAAAAACAGCAAACTTTGGGACCCGATTTCTACCGCGATCGATCAGGGCGAGGGAAGGCGGTGTTTCGGGAGTGAGCCCAACCGGTGAAGTTTTCTGCCCGAGTTGAGGCAATTCTTGGGAGTCACCAAAAGCGAAAAGGAACCAACAAAGCAAGCAAGAACAAAAACAAGCAAAACCAAGCACAAAATGAATTTCCAGAAGATGAAGGGGCATCTTTCCGCTTTTTCTGCCGGCCTAAGGCGGCGTCGGTGTTTTTTTTCTTTTCCGGGGAGCAGTTCTCCAGGGGTCGCTATATTTCCCTTTTTGGGTGGTTTTAAACCTCACCTTTTCGGTCCATGAAAGGTGAGCAGCCCTTGGGTGTGATGCTCTTTAAGGGAGAAATCACTCGGGAGCCCTGTGATTCTCTCGGCAGGTACGAGCTGGGCTACCACCGCCCCGCGGAGCCCGGGCCCTTCCTCGCGGCCTACGTGGCGCGGCGCTTCGAGCTGCCGGGCGGCGGCGGACGGGGCCGAGGCGGCGGGGAACGCGGCGGGCGGCGACGCGGGGGGGGGGCGGCGGAGTTCGTTTGGCCCGGGGATTGGGTGCCGTTTCTTTTTTCCCGTTTCCCTTTGTTTGGTTGGGAGGGTTCCGAACCCTACTAAAATAGACAGAAACAAGGAACGGCACCCTTTTTCTAACCTCTCTAATCTGGAGGACCTAGTGATTAATAGCGAGCTCCACCGAGCCGGGGGTTAAACGAGCTAAAGCCATTTTAAAGGTCACTTCACTTGGGGATCCCGGAATTCAGCTTTTGGAAGTATGCTGAAATTTGCACAGGGCTCCTTAAAAGATACATTTCGCAACACCACCATTTACAAGGCAATGTTCAGGTGTACAATGTAAGGATCCCTGTGGATGGTCCCTGTAGTCACTCCAAAATTGGCTAGATACCTGGCTATTTATAAACCCATGGTTGAAACCATGATGTTGGTGGGTAGTTGCGTTGGGAATCGAATGATTCCAGGGTTTCTCAGGATTGCGTCCATCCGCACTAGGTGTCCTTTTGATTGGTTAGTTTGCTTAGACATAGATGATTTCTACTGGTGTAGATTCGTATTATGCCCCATTTACCAGGGCCATCGATTTTTCTGGGGAAGTGTCGTCGTTTTTGGTTGGGGCAAATAAGGCTCAAGCTGAGCCGGTGTGAGTGTTCCTTTTAGGATGATTTGTTTGTTGCACCAAAGGGTGTGTGCCACAACATGCATTAAGAAATATTGATTGGAAGAGAATGAATTGGAACAGGTTGAGTGCAAAAGAATTGAACATGGAGCCACTCACTTACAAATGAAATTGGAGGAAGGGGCTTGACCCCTGAAACATTTGCAATCTCATGTTTCCTTTTGTCGGGAAAACTTGAAGCATGGTATGGAATTGGAGGTTTTCACCCTTTTTGTTGTCTGTGGGCTACTTTGCTGTTGTCGGCTTCACTTTTTGGTTGTTTGGTTCTGTTCCGTTTTTCGTCGGCCGCAAAAAAGGAAACCGCCCTTTGTCTTTTTTTGGGTCGGCGCTCGGCGCCAACCATATTTTCGTTTTTTTGTGGGTTGACCAAGGGCCAGCCACCGCATTGATGTTTTGGTTCAGACCGTTTGGGGCGGGCGCACCGAGCGCCCAGCGCCCAGCTCAGCGCCGCTTGCCTCGAGCGTCGCGCCGCGCGTCGCGAGAGGCAGCAGCGTGGGGCCGGTGGACTACGACGCGGTGCAGCTGCTGTCGGGCGTCCACCACCCCACCGCCGAGGCGCACCCGGTGGATCTGCGGATCGCGGATCGCGCTCGGCTTCCGGGCGAGGTTTGGCGTACGGTTTCGGGGAAGAGCGCCTGGCAGGAAGTTCAGGAAGAGCCCGTTTTTTTTTTTTCTTTTTCTTTTCGAAGAAGAACAGCAACGTAGCTCAAGAGTTGTTCCATAGTTTTCAAGGAATTGACTCTTTCCAAATGTAATGTGTAATATCAGATAAACTGTTTGTGTCATGGCTTTGCGAGGCTGAGTCTGGCAGGCCTGTGGAAGGGTTCTGAACCTCCATACGCATTAAAAACCTTTGGGTTGGTTCAGTTTTGGTCCTTCTCTAGTCAAGGTGAGAGGTTAACCTTTTGTCCCCAGCTCCTTTGGGCACGTCAGAACCCCTGTTGCAGTGGAAGCGACCCCAAAACAAGTGGCCTCAAAAAAAAGAGAGGCCCAGATTCTAGCGGCGGATTCGTTTTTCCGCTAGGTTCCAAAGTTGTACCCAGGTGAACAGTCCCCTTGTGTGTTGGTTTGGAATGTCGGCCGGGTGAAATGGATACATGCAGATTTGTCGGGACCTGAAGTATATCATGGAGCGCGCTAGAGAACGAGAGCGAGTTTTTGATGGCTCAACGATGGTGGGCATGCGTTCCCAGCAGTCCACCCACGCCCATATCTTTCCTTTGAAGGTTGGACCATCATCTTTTGGGGCCATTTAAAGTGACATATCGGGAACCCTGGTTAAAACATATTGAACTAGAGGGGGGTGGGGGGGGCCCTGGGAGGGGAGGCGAGCCATTGCGGTGATGGCTTGGTGTTCCTTCTCATGTTCTTGCTGCTTTGGATGTAGGGATGGGCATCACAGGCTGAGCATTTCTTGCTCGATGCGGGCATGCCGCGAGTGCCCTTTTCCCAATGCCAAATTCATAATTGCCGGTTTCTCTTTGCCTTTGCCACGGTGTCCAACCGGTCCTAGACCCGCACGGATGCCCAAAATGTTGCCAGTGCATCCATATTTCCCTGGTTGGCACCATCGTTGGTTGAAGCGGCTCACCCGTGGCGTTTGCGGAGGCCCTTTGGATCTTTCCTGAGTCAACGTTTTGTCGGGGTGTCGGGCCCCAGGACTCGCGTGTTTCCCCGGATCAGCCGTTTTTTCCCCCAATCCCTCTGCCCTCTGCGGCTTTTGAGCGCACCATGATGCCCCTTTGCTTGGGGATCCCTTATTTCAGGCTTTGGAATTGTTGTAGAAGGTTTGCAGCATGTATTGTGAGAATGCCAACTGCAACTGCCAGGTCTTTTCGGGCCCAGATCCTTTTGTCCCCATCCCACCCTCTTAATCTCGGAATATGGGGAGGGGGGATTTCGAATCCCGGAGATCTCCATTTTTGGTGAGCTACTCTCCCTACAGGGGAATGACTAGAGAAATGGAACCCCCCTCCATGTGGGCTCATAAATGGAATTGGGTCCCGGACCCCCACCCCCCACTCCCTTTCGGTAGGGAAGTGGAATTGAGGAAAAACCGTACCCCCCCCCCCCCCCCCCACCCCCTTGCCCATCGAAGGTAGGGGGGTGGATACCCGTGGAATCCGTGGAAAAGGAGCGGCTCGCGCGGCCGCAAAAACCGCCCGAGCGCGCCGCGCACGAGCGGATGTGGAGCTTTCGGGTCTCAGGAGCTGGCGGTGGGGCAGATGCTGCTGGAGATCCGGAAGCTGAGGCGGAAGTACAGCCGCTTCGTGGCCGAGGCCGGACCGGGAACGGGACGGAACGGACGGGGACGGGGCCCCCGTTTTGAATTGAACGGGTCCCGGGTTTTAACGGTGGCATTTGGGTGTGGCTCCTTTTCTTCTTGGTTCCCAGCCATCCGGTTCCTTAGCTTTTTTTTTCTTTTTTTTCTCGGGGTCCAGGGTTGAGGTTGATCACTCGTCAGCTTCCATCCAATTGGTTGTCGTCTTGGTGGATTTGGATTTGAGCCCCTGGTTCTCGCTCTTCACCAAACCAGGGAAGATGAACTCGGGGGTATCCAACCACTGTCATACCTGGGGGGACCCCTTTTGGGGTTCGGCTCTCTTCCACGTATCAACTTCTGTGGGTTCCATTTCCCACAGCCCTGCTCGGGTCCTTTTTTTTCCGGGCATTTGGGTGTGGTTCCCTATATTTTTTGAGGCTACCCCCTTGTTTGAATTTAAAGGGAACACCGCTGCGCCGAAAGGACAGCCCCATTTGGTTGGAAGCGCTTGGGGTGGATGCCGTCGGGGACTTCTTCTTGTTGCCGTGGAACATCTCGCTTTGGGTTACCCCACTCTCTATACCAAGGGGGCTACAGAGAAAGTTTCCCGACTGCTTTTGGGCCAATCCACTCAAGTGAGGAGATCGGTTTGGTTAGGTAGATGAGTTCCACTGGTTTCAGATTGGTAAAATCAGATATCCCACCCATCCCCTTTGGCTTTTAGATCTTTTTAGTGTTTGGCGGCGTTATTCGATTTTAGTGCATGATCAGAAAACGCACGGCCAGAATAGCAAACACGGCCAACAATGAGACGCACAGGCGACATTTCCGCAAGGAAGCGCATCAACTTTTGCCAGTATGCTAAGGCTACCTTCCCCATCCTTTCCAGGCATCCAGATCTTTCTAGAAGACCTCCGGAAACCCAGGTTGAAAACGGATCCGGTGATTGAAAAGTAATGATGCTTGAAAAGAGTCGGGAATCAACCCCTAGAAGAACCGCACCCCACCCGCACCCCCACACACCCACTCACTAGAAGTATCTCTTTTTTTTTTCAACTGGGACACCTCGGGGCAGACGAGGAGGAGGTTCCCCCCGGGTGGGGAGGGGGTGGGTTGGGTCGCCGGTTTCGTCGGCACGAGTCGTCGAGTGAGGTGCGCCCGGACGAGGAGGGCCAGGCGGCCTTTCTGGGCATCCCCTGGGCGGCGGCTCGGAATGTGAAGTGTTATCTGGTTGACGGCGCAAAAATAGTTAAACAACTAAGAAACTACTTCGTGAAAATGGGGGAGGGAAAAGGTTGACGCCACCAAAAAGAATAAACAACTAACCAATGCACCAATTCATGAAAGTAGGGGGTGTGGTTGTTGGCCCCCCACAAAAGAATAAAAAAGCAACAACCAAGCAACCAATTTGTGAAAATGGGGGAGTTTTTTTTGGCCTCCATGAAAACAAGTCAACCCCCCTAGTTCCATATTGATCTTTTTTTTTGATTGTATATTTGTTGCACTGGCTTAAAAGGCACACATTGGAACTGGCTTAATGTTGACCCCAGATTAATCAACCAACCAGCTTATGAAAATAGGGGGCTGGTCTGATTCCAATCGTATGGCACACTACAGGCAAAGCCAGTCGCTTGGATCTGTCGGACTTGCGCCAGTTGCTCTTGCACGTGGCTGCTTTCACCGCTATTGGCAGGCCCCAAGTCACCACAGAACCGTTGGCCGGGATGGCAGCAACAGCCTTTCCAGTTGCTTGGATCTGTTGCAGCGGCAGCACGTGCTTTTCTTCATGGCTGCTGTCACTCCTAGACTAAGGTATGGGTTACCATCTGCCTTTTGATGGTACCACCTTGGGTGGTTTGAACGGGAAACCAAAAGGACAGAGCCATTTTAGGGGTCCCTGGATCCCACAAAAAAAGACAGCCATCTGGCTTTGTCTCAAAAATCATCACCTGGATAAATTCTTGTAGCGTCGCTCGGAGAAAGGCGACATCGCAGATGACGGCTCCTGTCTTGAGCTGCTACCTAGACATTGGTTTCTCGCTGAAAGTTACGAACCTCTGGAACTCGCAACAAAGTTGAGAGCTTCTGGGGCAGGAGGGAGAAAAAACAACTACGTCATGTCTCTGTTGCCAAGTGGCTTGCTCCCTTTTTTGTCATTCCTTTTTTTTTGCAAAAAGGTTCCCCATTAAACTCAACCAGCCCAAAGAAGGGGTTTTGTTTTTTCTTTCCCCATGGAAATCAAATCCACTGGGGCATCTGAGAAAGTTTTTTTCCGCTCCGATTCGTCCCCCCCCGAGCTCCGCGCGGTCTCCGCATGCTCCGAGTGCTCGGAGAAAACGCGCGGGGGGGAAACGTCCGAGGACTTCGAGGCGGACTACGAGCGGCTGCTGGCGCTGCTGGGCAGCTCTGTGCTCTGGGCCTTCGCCCAGCGCCGCGGCTTGGGGTTTGGGGTTTGGGGGGGGGCGCGGGCGCCGGGCGGGGTTTGGGGCGGTTTGGGGGGGGGGGGGTTTGGGGGGGGGGGGGGGGGTTTTGAGGGGTTTTTTGGGGGCGGTTGGGTTTGGGGGGGTTGGGGTGGGGGGGGGGGGAGCGTTTTCGGGGGCTCGGAGGTGGGAAATATATGTTTTTTGGGTGGGGGGGCGTTTTTTCCGAGCCAAAAAAAGCGGGGGGACTCAGATGCAAAGAGGGGAAAAGGAAAAAACAATCCATCCCCTCAAAGGACATCGCCGCAAAGGGGGTGTCGCCTTTTTTGGGTTTGGCAGCTTTGGAAGTTGGAAAGGCAAGGCCAGTGAGCGAGTTTTCTTTTGGCGAGGTTTAAGGAGGCATATAGAGAGACCTGCAAAAGAGGGAATCCCATTCCGGGAAAAAGGGAAGCCCCCAAAAAAGGATGCACACAGGGCAACTCACCCAAGAAAAGGAACACCAAGCCGCAAAAGGGATGCAAAGGCACTGCTTTTGGATGGCTGGACAGGGACACCAAAAAGGGAAACCAACCTAGAGGAATTGAGTGGCCAGTTGCGTGGCTTGAGGGCTGGGGTAGGTGAAGCATGAGGTGAAGTTTTCAGAACTGAGGGTAGGGGCTGTGGTTCGAGTGTTAAGCTTTTATTTGGAGCTATAGACTCTAGGCGTTTTAGTTATTTCTTCCAGGAAAGGATGCACGAGCACTACGGGACAGCCAGTGTATCTTATAATTTATCGCTTTGCATGAAGCTGTAGTTTTTATTAATCAGCTTGCAGCGTCGTTGTGTTTGATGTTGTTGTGCTTGATGTACATCGAGCTCACCACGACGACAGGCCTTAAGACTTGGGGATCCAATTCTTACTTGAGCTTTTGGAATGAGAGTAGCATTTGCAGATTGCACCCAAATGAGTGCTGCGAGCCCCGAGGGGGGGTCGTCTCCGGTCAGAAAAGCTGTGGGAGGTGGGCCCCCTTGTTTCAGGCCCTTTTTGAGGTGCCGCGCCTCATTCTTTATAGGCTGTCCGAGCCATATTGATTCATTCATTTCTTGTGAGATGTGTATTCTCATGTATTCGTTTGTTCATGCATTCATTTGTTTGCTAGTTATTCGCATGAATGTATGAATGAATGGATGAATGAACGAACGAGCGAACGAACGGATGGATGGATGGCTTGATGGATGGAGGAAATAAGCAAGTACATACTTAGAATAAACAAACACAGTAGAAATCCACAAACAACATAAAAACGAGAGAACCCGACAAGGATAAACACCAACAACCAATGAATCAAATAAGTAAATTAATGAATTAACGGATGAATAAACTGAGACTGCATACAAACAACATAACAAGCAGTAAATGAACACATAACTAGCTCAAAAAGTAATGACATTCAAACAAATCTGAAATTAAATACAATGATAATTCACATAAACAAACAATGTTTCTGTTTACTGTATATTCATTTATGCATCAATCCATTAATTTTTCTCACAGTTCCTGTTGCTTGAATATGCTTATGATTCATATTCTCGTTTATTTGGTATGCTTTGTCAACCAGATATGATTCTTTATGATTCTTTGTCAGTTTTTTTTGCGTATTCATTTATGGTGTTTTGTTCATTTAATTATTTAGCGTTGTGCTTGTTTATTATTGACGTATTGAAGTGCTAAATGATGTTTTTGGATGTTTATGTGTGCTTACTTGTGTGTTTGCTTATGTATTCATTTATTTGTTGATTTGTTTTCGTACTTATTTACTGTTTGTTTGGTTGTTTACTTGGCAGTTTGCTTTTGTTTATTCATTTATCTATCCATTCTATCTATGTACTGTACCTATCCAATCTATCTATCCACTTACCTACCTGTCTACCTATCTACCCATCTATCTATCTAATCTGTCCAATCTATCTAATCCTATCTATCTATCTATCTATCTATCTATCTGTCTGTCTATCTGTCTATCTGTCTATCTGTCTGTCTATCTGTCTATCTATCTATCCATCTATCTATCTATCTATCTATCTAATCTGTTCAATCTGTCTAATCTATCTAATCGATCTAATCTATCTAGTCGATCTAATCTATCTAGTCTATATATCTATCCATTCATCTAGCTATCTATCTATCTGTTCTTCTACTCACAACTGATTAAGCATTTTCTGAATATGATCTGATTTAATTTGATGAATTTCTTTCTTCCTTTCTTTCTTCCTTTCTTTCTTTCTTTCTTTCTTTCTTTATTTCTTTCTTTCTTTCTTTCTTTCTTTCTTTCTTTGCTTCCTTCATCTTCCTTCATCTTCCTTCATCTTCCGTCATCTTCCTTCATCTTCCTTCATCTTCCTTCCTTCCTTCCTTCCTTCCTTCATCTTCCTTCCTTCCTTCCTTCCTTCCTTCATCTTCCTTCATCTTCCTTCATCTTCCTTCATCTTCCTTCATCTTCCTTCATCTTCCTTCATCTTCCTTCCTTCCTTCCTTCCTTCATCTTCCTTCCTTCCTTCATCTTCCTTCCTTCCTTCCTTCCTTCCTTCCTTCCTTCCTTCCTTCCTTCCTTCCTTCCTTCCTTCCTTCCTTCCTTTCCTTCCCTTCCTTCCTTCCTTCCTTCCTTCCTTCCTTCCTTCCCTTCCTTCCTTCCTTCCTTCCTTCATTCTTCCTTCCTTCCTTCCTTCCTTCCTTCCTTCCTTCCTTCCTTCCTTCCTTCCTTCCTTCCTTCCTTCCTTCCTTCACCTTCCTTCCTTCCTTCCTTCCTTCCTTCCTTCCTTCCTTCCTTCCTTCCTTCCTTCCTTCCTTCCTTCCTTCCTTCCTTCCTTCCTTCCTTCCTTCCTTCCTTCCTTCCTTCCTTCCTTCCTTCCTTCCTTCCTTCCTTCCTTCCTTCCTTCCTTTCCTTCCTTCCTTCCTTCCTTCCTTCCTTCCTTCCTTCCTTCCTTCCTTCCTTCCTTCCTTCCTTCCTTCCTTCCTTCCTTCCTTCCTTCCTTCCTTCCTTCCTTCCTTCCTTCCTTCCTTCCTTCCTTCCTTCCTTCCTTCCTTCCTTCCTTCCTTCCTTCCTTCCTTCCTTCCTTCCTTCCTTCCTTCCTTCCTTCCTTCCTTCCTTCCTTCCTTCCTTCCTTCCTTCCTTCCTTCCTTCCTTCCTTCCTTCCTTCCTTCCTTCCTTCCTTCCTTCCTTCATCTTCCTTCCTTCCTTCCTTCCTTCCTTCCTTCCTTCCTTCCTTCCTTCCTTCATCTTCCTTCCTTCCTTCCTTCATCTTCCTTCCTTCCTTCCTTCATCTTCCTTCCTTCCTTCCTTCCTTCTTTGCTTGCTTGTTTGTTTGTTTGTTTGTTTGTTTGTTTGTTTGTTTGTTTGTTTGTTTACCTCATGCGTAGGTTTCGTCACACCTGGCCTCTGGGCCGCCCAGCCTCCCCAACGCCGAGGCGCCGCCTGGCGGCCGGGCGCGGCATCTTCGAGGCCCACAAGGCCCTGAACCAGGAACTGGAGCAGGTGCCACCGAAGGGGCGGGGGACCGGGGGAGATGCGGGGTAGAAATAGAAACCAAATAAAAACCAAATGAAACCAAATAAGTGAAAATAAATAAGCAAACAAAAGGTAAAAGAGCAATAAGTAAAGATAGTTTTATGTTTAATAGTAATTAGGGAGATGTGCGAAGGGCGGGGAGATGTGAGTCACATGCTCGAAACCCGGGTAAGTGAAGGTTAATTTGTAAGGAACATGAATAAACAAACAAGAGTAAAAGAGTAGTAAGGAAAGATAGTTTTTTCAAGAGTAATTAGGGAGATGTGCAAAGGGCGGGGAGATGGGGTTGGAGGTGGAGAGATGGTTGGAGGTGGGGAGATGCGGGCGGGAGGAGGCAGGTTTTTTAATTTCTCTCTCATGTGAGCCACTTGCTCAAAACCCGGGTAAGCGAAGGTTAGTAAGGAACAGTCTCCGCCAGAAATAGCTGCGGATATCCGCCTTCCTAATTCTTGAAGCATGGTTCTGGGTAGAGCATTTTAATACCGGGTTTTGATTATGACTCATGTGGGGAGGTGGGGAGATGTGGACGGGAGGAGGCAGGTTCTCGCTCTCTCCCTCGTGTGGGGTCAGAAGGGAGAACCCCCCTACTCCACTGCTCCGCTGCTCCACTGCTCCACTGCTCCTCTGCTCCACTGCGCCATTGCTCCACTACTCGCCACCCACTACCCACTACCACAATTTTCCTGATTCTGAGAAGCGAAGGCCAGAATAGATCTGTAGGTGTCCCCTTTGTCTCTTTTTTATAGGCCTCCCCAAGAAAATGTCAAGACAGGTTTCCTGCCGGCTTTTTTTTCTTCAGCCCAACCAAAAGGCGACTTAAGGGCAGGGTACAACCCACAAAAGCCATGGTCATGAGTCTCCTAAGTGGGAGACTCCCTTTAGGTCTGTCTTTTCTTATTCCCCCCCCCTCCCCCCCAAAAAAAAGGAAAAGAAAGAAGAAGAGTGAAAAGCATCAGGTGCAACACGGTTCAACCCTTTCGGCTTTCCTAAAAGAAAAACAAAAACAACAACAACAACCGTGGGTGTTCAATCCAACCGTGGGTGGGAAGAATCTCACGGTAAGACCATGGTTGTTGGGAAACAGCTTTTACATTTTTGATCTTATTGTGGTTTAGTGGTGGAAATCCAAATTCACTGAACTGCTGAAATTTGAGAATCTTTGCTCCCCAAACCCAACGTCAACCAAGACAACAACAAGCAACCAGACCATAGCGACCCCAAACCAAAAACACGCGGCGAGGTTTTTCGGGTGTCAAGTCGGCAGGAGCCGGAGCCCGAAGTGCGGGTGGACAACTGCCTGCAGCTGGCCCGCGCCCTGCCGCCCGGGAGGCGATCGGGGGATTGGCGTTTTTTTTGCGGCGTGTCCGTGGCGGTTTTGCAGGGCTTCTTAAAAGATACATTTTGCAACCATTTGAAACATGGCTTTTTCCACCCAAATAAAAGGAACGTACCATTTACGAGGCAATGTTCAGGTGTATAATGTAAGGATCCCTGTTTTGGTTTTGGTTTTTTGGAAGTTGACCTCCCCAGAATGAGTTCCCCGTTTTATGTTTTTTTGCTTTTTTGGGGGTCCCCTTTGTTTTCCACCAACCAGGCAAAAAAAAACAAGTTTTTGCTGGGGTTGAGGGGTGCCAGGAGCTGGAAGAACATCTTCCATTTGCTGAAATGAATATTGTTCTTTTCCCTTGTTGGTTTTAAAGGGAATCGATTTCACCACTGGACTTTTTTTGTTTTTATTTATAAGTTTGTTCCAGGGGACTTCAGCAAATGGAAGACATGGGTTTGGTTTGCTTTGCTCTCTTGCCATGTACCCAACTTCGGGGTTCTCTTTTTGGGGAATCGCAGGTTTGAAGGGGTTCCATCCATTCGCCAGGATGGAGCCCCACGACTGTCTGGCTATTTGGTAAGCGGGTCCAGTGGAACTTTTTGAAGCAGCTCGGGTTTTTCCCCGTTGGACCCACGACCCGCTTCTATGGAAATTTTCCAGGGACGCCCGGGGAAGGCGCGGGTTCCTTCCGTCTTTCTTCTTCTTTTTTTTTTTTGGGGGGGGGGGTTTTGGGCGGGGGGGGAAGGGGAAGGGAGGGCCCCCGAAAAAATGTCAGAGAATGGGTCATGGTTTGGGTTCACTTTGGATTTTTTTGCTAGTGGCGCCAAAGATTGTTAGATCCCAGGTGTGGGCTTGAAGGTTGACCGAGCTGTTTCAGGGGTTCCACTTCCATTCTTTCCAATGGATCCTTCTTTTCAGCCAAGGGACAAAGGATGGTTGAAGAGAATGGTTGGCAACAACCCCTAGAAGAACTCAAAAGAGTTGGCTTGCTGCTGGAGGGTAAGGTCAGCAAGGGACCCCCCCTGGCAAAGCTCCATCAATATGGATTTCTTATCAAAAGGACGCGGTATTTTTTTGAGCGTGTTTTGCTAGGGGCACCAAAGTGTCTGGAGGGTTTCCCTGCAGCGATGAATCTGGAGAACAACCAGTCACAGGACCCGCCTGGCCTATAGATCATTTCCTTGAAGGGGGAATCCCTTTCTAGTTCCGTGTTCTTTTTGCCGGATGAATTCAGAGAGGAACCGTTTGACACATATCCAGAAGGATGTTTCTCAAAATGGGGGGTGTCCTAAAACAGGAACCCGCAAAATCCGCGGGTCTCCCTTTCGCTGCCCGTTAAAGCAAATGTAAAAAAGGGCCAGCCTCCAAAACGGACACATCCAAGTGGGGGCTTCTGGTTCCCTTTCGAATACCAACTATTGGCGGCTCGGGATGTTTAGGGCTCAAAATGACGAAGCAACTCGGGGGATGGTTCGGGCGGGAGACAAAGGCATGCGGTGCGTTTCCAAAATGATGAAGATTGATTTTGTTCGACTCATCTCATGTGAAAAGCAAGTATCTCAAACAAACAGACAAAACGCAAACCGGACTCGCCAGAGCTATCTTCAACTCACAGAAATCGATTCACGGAGCTCTCTCGGAAGGTTCGCCGTTGGCAACTTGACTGACATCTGTTGCGAGAACTGAAAGGAACATCACACAACAAACGCCTTCTCGGGTGGCTGCTTTCCCCTTCATGGGCTAGGTTCAGGTCTACCGGATACTCAAAACAATCTCAGCTTTGTTGCCCGACAATATCTTTGAGTCGCGACCGAGGAAATAAGTTCGAAAGAAACTCCAAGATTCCACGTTAATCAGAGGTGTATATCCAAACCCCAGGTCTAACGCCGGGTCAGCGTGGGTAGCTAGTTTGGGCCTCGAAAGACTTCAACCGTCCCTGAGGCTGAAGCCCGTTTCTTTCTGTGCGGGCCGCTTCAAGACTGGCCCTTCCGGGACCAAAGATCCAACCTCTGTTTTTTTTGCCTCTCACTCCACTTGCATGTGGAAACCACAAAAGGAATCGACACCTCTTGGTTTCACCTGAAATCGGCCGCGCCGAAATTCACAAACACCCCGTTGCGGGTTTTTGAAGCCCGGGGGCGCTTTGCTCAGCGTACCGCTTGGGGAGGTCCTGGGGACGCTTGGCTTTCGGACGCCGAAGCGCCCCCACGTCTTGGGGACGTCCTGGGAACGCCGAAGCGCCAGGCTGCTGGAGCTTTTTCGGAAGCTGCACGAGGCTCGGCCCGGCTGCGATGCGTCGGGGGGGGGGGCTCGGAACACCGGCGCGTTTTTTTTCTCGCGGGCGGGCGATTCGGAAGCAATTAAAGGGGCACCCGCTGAAGGGATGTTGTTTTTGGACAAGTGGGTACCAGCAACAACTAGCAGCGAGAAGTATTTTATGTTTTGAATCCCTGCAAGTTGACATGGAACCCAAACAACCAGTAGTGTAGGGTGCAAAGGCGGGAGGGGTCAGGGGGAGGGGCCAAGTTGACCAAACCTAGAGTAACACTCAGATCTCTGAATAGCACTCACTAGCGCTCAGTAGGGCTCAAAACCGTTCAGCATGCTCCCAGTTTCTTCACTGGAGCCTGAACATCTCAGCAAGGTTCTTGCTGAGTTGACTGACGGCTTCAAACAACAATCTTGATCAAATGCATCAATGATTACTGAGGCTTAGTAAGGCTTACCAAGGCTTAGTAAGGATTACATAGTGTTAGAAAGCATGGCTGAGCAACAGTGCCCTTCCCGCCTGTGCCCTATCAAATGTGTATGTACAACATAATGATATCCTACAGTTGGGTGAGAGATGGCGCAATTCCCCGAGTTTGGAATAGTCATCCCTGTACCAGACATAAATGGCTTGGTTTGTACCATTGGGGCATAGATAGGTAGGACCGAACTAAGCATGAAAGAGAATCAACACATATTATTTATAATGTATCCTCACGGTGTGAACCACAAAAAGGGCAAAGGGCGCGCACGCCTCGCCCCTATTTCTTCTGGTTGATTGCACGGTTCGGCGCGCGTACCTTCCGAAGAACCAATGTTTCGCTGGGAGCACGAGGTGTGACGAGAATGTTTTCTTTGGGGGGTGCAGGATTTCTTCCCTCAACAGCAAGGAAACATTCCTTGCAGAGCACCACACTGAACTTGCACGGCCCGGCACTAAGGGTGCGACACTGGATTGTTGCACGCAAGCTGCCAGCTACAGCCTCAGTCAACCTTAGCTTCAACGCTCAGTCAACGCTCAGTCAACGCTACAGCCAGCGCGGCAATCAACGCTGCAAGAATGCTGGCGTGAAGCTATAATGGAGAAGGAACTTTAGAGCCTCCAGCTCAGTTCGCCGACCTTGCGTCCCCCTTCACGTCCCTTTCATTTCCCTTCTTTCATGTCCCTTTCATTCCCCATTAATTTCCCACGCAGGTCACATTTGTTCGTTTCCTTTTCATTTCCCCTCCCGTCATTGCTCTTCATTCCCCGTCATTACTCTTTCATTTCTCTTCATTCCCTTGCGTGTCTCCTCCTTCCTTCCCCTTCATTTCCTTCTCATTGCTCTCCGTTTCCCTTTGTTTCCCTTTCATTTCGTTTCATTTTCCTTCCATATTTCCGCTTCATGTCACGTCCGTTTAATTTACCATTCATGTCCATTCTTTTCCCTCATTTCCCAGCCGTTTCCACTTCCATAAATTTTTCCCTTAAGTTCCCTCCATCCCCCTTTATTCGGTGGTCACGACGCGTGGCTGAAGCGCCTGAGCGTGTTGCGCCTTTTGCTTTTGAAGTAGCGCCCCTTGGAACGCTCTGATTTGGGGATTTCCTGCAGGTCGGGTGGGTGGGTGATGGTGGGCGATGGTGGGTGATGGTGGGTGATGGTGGGTGATGGTGGGTGGGCGGGTGCCGTCTCAAGAATATTCGTAGTTCATCCACCTGCCAAGCGAGCGCTGAATCAATTGCCAAAAAGCAGTGTCCACGAGCCTCGCAATCGCGATTTGGTAGCTCACTGCTCTTTCAAGCCGTTGAAACAAATCCCGTCCGACTCCTGCGTCGCGTGCAGATTCTCCGAAGGAACGTCAGTTGAATGTGTTGGCTGGAGGCGCGTAGGCCTTGGTTGGCTCCGACTTTCTTCAAGCCCTGCGCGGGCGCATTGGCGCCATGAACTGGAGAGCGGGGTGGCGAGCGTTGGCTGGGGCAACAACGCCTGGCTGCTGCGGATGCGCCACGCCGTAAGAAAGACAAATGCTTACGTCCCGCGTGTGTCAAAGACGCATGTTTTTCTGCGGGCGCAAGCGACCTCTCTCTTTCTCCTGTACCTTTCCAGACATCCAAGCAGCTCCAGAAGGCTGGGCGGAAGGTTAGTTTTGTAGGCAACGTAAAACTCAGCGCGTGCGTGCCAGCGCGAAGAACGCCCACAAAGATGTTGGTGAGAAGGAGGTGCGAAGCAAAGCCAACACTTCCAAACGCTTCTCTCTTGGGTGTCCGACACGTAAATGCCAGGGTATTCGTGGCGGTGACTGCTTGCGAACGCACCTGACTGGGCAAGCCCAAGTCTTGGCCCTTCAAAGGCAGAAATGTGAAAGCTAGTGCTTGTGTTCGGTTGACGGAAGAAACCCTGCGCCGCCTCAGGGTGTGAACCACAAAAAAGTCATAGGGCGCGAACCCCTCGCCCCTAATTCAATGTTGAACAATGACGCATGCGGTTCCTTTCGAAGAACCAATGTTAAGCTGGGAGCGCGAGGTGCGACGAGAATGTTCTCATTTAGGTGGTGCAGGATTTCTTCCGTCAACAGTACCTCTGAGGAAAACCGAAGGCCCCCGATTCGTGTTGCGTCGGACCGAACGAAAGCACACAGCTGAATAGCCTGGATATGCATTTAAGCCTTGAAGTCTTCACGGGTGCTTGCAACCGCCTCTTTCAAGGCGTTTCAAAAGACTGGGATTGAATTTTGATTGAAGTCTTTGGGCCAATTCGGGGTTTCTCAAAATTGGGGACCCTTTTCGGATGGGGGGAAACCAAAAAGGAAACCACCTTTTGCGGTGTTCCCTTTTGGTTCTGTTTAGCTTGTTTGGGGAGCATTCTCCGTGGGGATGCTTCAGTTTAAGCAATTTGAACAAAACATATGGAGCAGTGCTTGAGGAAATCGCGCCTTTCCCAAAACCGGTGTGGGAGCCATTAAAAAGGTGGGTTCCTTTTGGTTTCCATTTGAAGCAAGAACAAAAGGGGGCGCCTCTTCAAACAAAAACCGACATGAAGTCGGTTTCCCCGAGCCCGGGAGCATCGATAGGAGCCCCAGCTCAAGGAGCTCGTCAAGGGACGCACGCTTTCCGGCAGCAATGCGGAACATCGGAATAGGGAGACCACCCCCCAAATGGCTGGTTTCTTTTTCTTGCATGTGATGACATGAATATTAATTTTGAATTTTGCCTTCGGAGGAGCAAAAGCAAATGCACATGTTTAACCCAACCTGGCACCTTCAAACTAATTGGCAGACCCGCGTGTTGCTTGGGGGACGACATGTGGGGGCCACCCAAAGTCTGTGATCCATGACCATTCTCGATTGGAAGGCCCAGCTGCGTTTCCCGCAGTGCCAGGGGTCCCACCGATTTTTTTGGTGGTGCGCAGATCTTGAAGGGGCAGAACTGCACGAGGCATCATGCAGACCTGCACCAACCTAAAATCAACCCCAGCAACCACACTGCCCCAAACCAACCCCAACCAGCCAAACCAACCAATCCAGCCCACAACCATCGAGACCTAGCCACCCAGGTTCAAAGGACTCCTCACTTAAATGATGCCCACCAAAGGGCTGCCCATTTGAACAAGCAACGTTTAAAAATCATGAACATTGATTCCTACGCCTTTTTGTGCTTAATGAGGGAGTTCACCTCACCCATGGGATTTATATGGGTGGCTCGTCTGTTTTGGAGTTGGTACTTTCAGTTTTGGATGGTTGTTAAAGGGAGAACCAAAAGGAACTCCACTTTCTTTTTCTTTCATTTTTTTTTGGGGGGGTTCCACCCAAAAACAACACACCCCACAATTCGCTCGTTGGAACGGGGCCGTTTTTGTTTTTGTTTTTTGTTGTTGTGTGTGTGTGGCTCAAAATTTAAAAGGTAGGGTTATGCAGGCTTGATCTTTGGTTCCATGTGCCAAGGTGCCATTTTGGTACATGTTGTTGAGCCACAAGGCCCCTTCCAATTGGACGAGGGGCACGCGTCACGTGTTGGACAGCGCCTCATCGATCCGCTCGCATGTTCCTCGAGGCCCGGCTGCGAGGAGCTTACGGCAGATGCGGACGCTCCGGCGGGGGTGGTGGGGGGTTCGCCGGGGGTTGGCTGCGCTCGTGGTCCAGAAGTGAGGTGCCAAACAGCTCCGGGGTCCATTTTTTTTTAACCAGGCGATACCAGAATTTGGTTTGTGGCCGGTCTTTGACCAAATTTCGAGGAGCGTTTGGGTTTGGCTTTTGTACGAAGGGTGAAAAGGACCTTTTGCTCACGAGGATTGGGGTAACCCAGCGGGAAGGGCGGTTTGTAGTAACCCAGCGAAAAGGGGATATTCCCAATCACCATGGAATTATTTTCTCCAACTAAAATGAAGCAAGTGATGGCCATTGCAAAGGCCTCGTGGTGTGATTCAAGTGGGCTATCAATTTCCAGCTGAAAAAAATACGAAGTAGTGCACTAAGCAGTAGCCTCCTGTCCACGTTGCATGGCACCCTCCAGATCCCTTTCAGAGGAACAAACTGATCCGTCCATGATCCGTCAGTCAGGTTCCATGTGGATGGGAGGGTTTTAGGGGATGACATGGGGGCACACTCACCCAGATGGTCCCCCAGTAGTGCCCTTTCTCACTTTTTTTTTGGGGGGGAGGGTTCCCTACTAAAATAGACTACATAAAAAAGGGTATCCTTATTCTAGCCTCTCAAATCTGGAGGACCTAGTCACCCAGATGGGAACTTGTAGTACATCACCCGGCTTGCAATGCTATTGGGGAGCGGCACGGCATGAGTATTGATTCAATTGTGGTTCCCGTGGCTTGCCAGGCCATGGCTTTGTTTCTGTTTTTTTTCGGGTCTGCTTTGCACACTTTCCGAACCACTTCCGTTGGAGCGACGTTGATTTTGGGGCGGCCAGTCATGGATATGAAGCCTCGGAGAGCAGGTGAGCCACAATCCAAACCTGGGTAGATGAAGTTTAATCCCAACCATAAATAGCTGCGAATATCTGCCTTCTTAATTCTTGAAGCATGGTTCTGGGCCATTCTAATGCCAGGTTTTGATTATGACTGAGGTGAGATTTATCGCAACCCGTTTTGGCTCTGGGAAGACCCTTTCGTCACTTTGCACAAATGGAGAGGTCGCCTGGGAGAGTCAACCGGCATCCCAAGAGACGCCACGGTGAGCCCCGGCTCCGCCCGCTTCAACGCATGAGGCCGAAATTGGGGGACCAAGGGCCCTTCAAGTATGTGATGTAGGTGTGTCCAGGGCTTTTCTTTTGGGGGGTCCCCCCCAAAATGGCAACACGGGTGTGGCTTCCTTTTGGCTTCCCTTTACAACCAGCAAACAAATGGGGAACCGCGGCTCAAAAAAAAAACGACGCGCCACCCATATTGGCAAGGGAAAGCTCACTTCCTGAGTCCCTGGACTTGACACTTTTTGGGCTTGGACCATTTTCAGTGGCAAGCCAGAAGTTCAGCTTTTTTTTTGTGGGGGGGGGCATCCACTCAGGGGACCTTCCATTTGGAAAGCATACTTTTTATTTTCTCCTCTTGGTTTAAAGTTGGAATCCATCACTACTGGAATAATTTTCTCATTTTTTTCCCAGGGGGCGAAAAAGCAAACGGAAGGGACTGTCCGTGCAAACCACCCATCCCTTGTGGTTTCCACTCAGGGGACTGAGAAAGAAATTGTTCACAGCTCTCTAGAAGAAGCCTCGAGGCGCCGGGCAGAAACACCTTGAAGGGCCTCTTCTCCTGCAGCGGGCCCCGGTTCGGGGCGTCGCGGGCGAGTGCGGGCGGGCAACCGGGCAACCGGGTAACTATAAGCAACCGGTGAGACGTCGGCTTCTTTTGGTTTTTGGTCATCCGCGTTTTCGATGGGAGCGGGCAGATGAAGATTTCAAGAACTTGTTTTTTTGATACTCTCCGCTGTGCGATGAAGTTGAGGCTGACTATACCTGGGATTATTTTTTTTTCATCGGTTCCCCTTTCAATGAAATGGTCACTTGTTGGAAGGTCCATCTCTGACTCGGGTCCGGAGAAATCCAAGATGCGCTCATTCCACTCCGCCTCCCACCTCATGCGGGGGGTTTTGCTGTGTGTTTGGGTGCTTTATTTAGCCCCTATTTTTTCAACCCACCCAAAGGGAACCACAGGGGAGAAGTAACTTGGTGGCTCCCAGCCATCCCCTTAGCATTTTAGCTTCTTCGTGTTTAGCGGGGTTTTCCATTTAGCCCACTAACAGTTAAACTTTTAGCGGGGGATCTGAAAACGGACAGCTCAGGCAATTTGTCCGTGTTTTTTTCCAGGCCACCCGATGTTTGCACCCAGGTCCGGGCCCGTTGCTTGCAACCCTTGCGCAGAAAAATCGCGCTGCGCACGCGCGATTTTTTGTTCAGCGAGGCATCAGTGCGGGAGGGTTTCTCAAGGAGGCGGGCGGACGCGTGGGTTGCGCTGCCGGCAAAGGTCGGCGTGTCATTTTATATATATGTATATTATTTATTTTTTTTGGGGGGGGGGGTGGAGGCGATTTGTTCCATAATTAATGAAAGTCGCTGGGAGGAGATTTATAGGATACATAGGTGTGTCTTTTGTGAAGGTATACCGTGTTGGTAGTTTTAAAGGGAAACCAGCAAGGAACCACTTTTACTTTTTGGGAGGCCTCAAAGCGACACATCATATGTGTATATATATATATATATACACGTATACACATAAATGTACTTGCCGCTGGTCAAGGAGTCTGCATACTGTCATGTGACATGCCATACGATATGCCATACGATACACGAATCGCATTTCGTTTTCTTGGGTTGGCGCAACCTTACAGATCACCCAACATGTTGTCATTGTTGGCTGTTGCTTGAGACCGCCAGCCCAAAAAAAAAGGACCCACTGCTGCTCAATCGTTGTCTTCCCCGAAAGCAAACGAACAGCCGCGCTGATCTTTTTGCACGGCGGCGGTGTGAGTTGTGCGCGCTGAAGGGCCCAATGCCGACACTGATCTGTGAACAAGGTCGAGATGCGAGTAATGTTGACCCGGATGTGTTAAACCTGTGTGTATTAATATTGGGGGTGTCCCTGGTTTTAGAGGGGATTCTTCACTTTCGGAGGGGAGAACCCCCATATTAATCAACAGGGTCTATTAATCCGGGGTCAACGCTACCCCCGATGAAACAGACAAACAACAACCCCCTTAAAGAGATCTTCCCGGCAAAAGCCGACCAAAGGTGTTTCGGCCAGTACATGTTGGCAGCTTCCAAAGTACGTAGGTTTCTCCACCAGAAGAGGACATTGAGATTGGGAAGGGGGAAAGCATCAGGACCCCATGAATTCCTTTCTTAGCCCATATGGGTCAATTTTTATTCCACCAACTCCAATTTCAGGCTGCCTCTTCCTGTGCGTTTTCCTTTTTTTTTTTTTATCTTCTGTCGCGGTGCCATGTTCTCGTTGCCAGACGGTGTTGGCGTCTCTGCGGCTGCTGGAGCGTAGCTCCAAAGCGACCGGGGGCGCGACCTTTGCTGAGTACAGGCGGAGCCGCGGGATCCGCGGGATCCGCGGGATCAGCGGGATTCGTTTGAAGAAGCCGATGCGGGGAATCCCCCGGTCGGGTCATAATTGGTTGGTGACTGACAAAGGCGGGTCCAGGATGTTTTTGGTTTCGGTTGCCTTTTCAAGGTGAAGTGGAAGGGGCATGAAAGGGGATTCACATTTTCTTGGTGGTTCCCAGCCAGTTTTGGGGCCCGACTCCCCCAATTTTGCAACCCAAACCAAGTTCTCATGGGAGGTTCCGAGTGGCTCTCTTGCGCGATGTTTTAAAAGGACACCAAAAGGAAGGAGCCTTTTTGGGGGTCCAAATTTTGACACATGCCCTTCTCAGTTACCCGATGTTGAAGCTGGCAGACGTGCCAGGCATTTCTTGGTTTGGGGATTGGAGGCCCCTTCTTGAGGGGGTAGATGGGAAACCAGCCCTTCCGCAAGACCACCAAGCCACGGATGTTTGCATCAAACCACGAAGAACAAAGAGGGAGGCCGATTTCTTGCTGGCGAGGAAGCCAAGGGTGCCCCAAACCACCTAGACCGATCTACGTCTGCGCACCACGCCATTCGACATTTTCGGGAGGCCCAGAAGGCACCTTTTTCCAGCAGGCAACTGGATGTTTTGGCGGTTTTCTTGAGCCTGGACGTGCTTTCCACCCGAATCAGGTCCCTCGGAGCCCGAAGCAGCGCGCATGTGAGCAACAGATTGGTCGATGTTAATGGGCTGCCCCAGTGCAAGCAGGTTCTCGTGAACTCCTTTTCCGTGCAACCCGGTGCTGTTCCACATGTTTTGGCCGGCTGCAACAAAAAACCAACCCGTTTGCCTTTGTTTTTTGCCGAGTGGGTTAAGGCCATGAGCCATTCAGGTTCATGACCCCTTCTGACGATGTTTCCTGTTTTTTCCAGGGCCATGAGCTGTTCAGGTGGATCGATCACCCCTCAGATGTGGGTGTGGGTCAAAATTGAACCCACCAAAAATTGGACCGCAGGTTTTAGTCCTTGGTTTCATTTACGAGGGCAGGCCAGTTTGGGGTTTCCCAATTTTTGACCGCCATGTCCTTCCGTCGATTGGGGCGGAGGCTGCCTCTGCTGGCGGAGGGCGACGCCTGGGCCGACCTCGCGGAGTGGCACCAGGCGGTGAGAAGCGGCTGGGGCGGCGGCCAGGGCGAGGGAAAATGAGGGCGAGGGACCCCGAAAAGAAAATCCCCGCAAGAGGGGAGGGCGGGGAGTTTTTTTTTTTTTTTAAATTAAAATAAATAAAATACCAATAAAATATAGTATCATTAAGAGCTCGCATTGGATGTTTATCTTTTTAAAGAGCTCACGTTGGCACGTGCCTTCACTTTTCGAGCAGCACTTGATCCTTTGTGGGTTGGAGGACCATGCTAGTGGCCGAAAAAGAGCTCAGGCCTTTTTTTGGAACCATCTTGCGAAGTGAGTATTGGGTTCAAACATACACAAAAACACACTGGGTTGGGTTTGAGGGCGACTCCAAAGGCCCACGGAACACGGACAACATGAAGAGAAAGGAATGGACACGGGCTGAAAGTAGCTGATGCAGGGTGCTTTGACTTTGCCGCAACGGAATAGGCATGGCTTCGTTTCACAAATGGATTTGGAGCCTCCAAGTTTGCAGACTGGGAAGTCTATCCGGATGTGGCTTCTTGGCATGGTTACCAAGGTCAGGTTGCCCTTGTGGTTTTGGAAAGGTAGCCTCTTAACCTCTAAACCACCAATTCAATAATACACCGTTACACCGTTCCATCATTGGGATTGTTCCCTCCAAGGAGACAGACCCATATTCGAATGGGCCCCTTCGCTTGCGTGTCTCCAATACATTTGTATGTGGCTTTTTTGAGGGTACCCCTTTTTTGCTGGTGTTAAGAAGACTCCAAAAGGAGCACCGTTGCGCCATTTTGGAGGGTCCGAACCCTAAAACAAGCCCGATCAAAAGGTCCGTGATACATGGGATGACCCTTGGAAAAACCCACTAAAAAGATGATATTTGCTTCATGGGACAAGTTACCCACGGTCATTACTGGGGGTCGATGCTGATCCACCAGAAAACCGCAGGCTTTAGTCCTTTCAATGTACCAGGGCAAGCCATTCTGGGCACCTGTTTTTGACCCACACCCATACTGTGGATGGACGAAATCCCGGACCACCGTTCAGAAACCTTGGAATGATGGTTCCCCAACGTAAATGCCAACCTTGCCATGGTTTCTTAGGTGGTGCGAGAGGACGGATTTCGTCCACAGCATGGGCTTGGGACTTGGTAAATGGTTAGCAAGCTTGGCTATAAGCAGGGCTCCTTAAAAGATACGTTTTGCAACCAGTTGACACATTGCTTTTTCAACACCAAAATAAAGTTGGAAACCACCATTGACAAGTTGCAATGTTCAGGTGTATAATGCATCCGGATCCCTGATAAGCTACCAAAAGTTACAAGTCTCCGTCAGTTTCAGTGGATGGTAACCAGGCTTACGAGTCACTTACCTGACGTGCCTCTTGCAAAATCCCATTTCGCACCACTTTGAAACCATGGGAAGCCATTGCTTGTTGGTGTTTGCGTTGGGGGAATCATCAATTCAGGGTTTCTTAGGTGGTGCGAAATGGATTTCGTCCATCCACACTGCCATGTGCTCAATATTGTTTTCAACCCTGCTGGCTTGTAAAGGGAAACCAAGAACTGCTGGACGTATTTCTTTTAATTCTTTCCCAGGGGGCCTTAATTCAGCAAATGGGGTGTGGCTCAAAAAAACCGGGAGGGGCAACCCGCAGGTTTTGGTCCATTCCACTTCCCAGGGCAAGCCATTCTGGAATTCCGGGTTTTTGAGCCACAGCCAATTGACATGGAGCCTGACAGGGAATTGGTCTCTTGAAAAAAAAAGAGGATGGTCTTGCAGGACCCTGCCAGCCGGTCAGGTTCCGTGTGACTTGGGAGGGTACTTGAAGGGGCGAAAGGGTACATAGTATCTCACTTCCTGAATTCATGAACTTTAAACTTTTTGGGAAGACCATTTTAGTGGTAATCATAAAGTTTGGTTACTTTTTTGGGCCATCCAATCAGCCAGTGAGGTAAATGGCCTCGGGTCCTGAGCTTGCATGCCTTGCACGCCTGAAGTCCATGGCAGGAACTGGGGTCCATCAGCGAGCGCCTCGCCTGGGCGGGGAAGCCAAATGGGGCGGTCTCCGCGAGACGCCGCGCGCCGCCGCCGGCGCCGCGTCCGCGTTTTTTTTTTTTTTTTTTGGGGGGGGGTTCTTTTATTGGTTTTTTTGGTTGAGGACGCGGGCTTCCCCCCAAAAAAAATCCGGCGGCAGCGGGCGTCCGCCTTTTGTTTCCCTTTGAAAGCACCAGAAGAGAGGTAGCAATTCCACAACAGAGGGCCAACCTGGCAGCTCTGATTCTGGCTTGGAACTTCTGGACACTTCGGTGTACCCTTTCCAAGATGCCTTGCCGGGGGTCAGGGAAGCCAAAGCTTCCAATGGGTTTCGCGTTGCCGGGTTCAATTGGGAAGGGGAGACCTCTTGTCCAGACCTCAGAAGGGCCCAGCGGGCGGTGTTTTTCGGTTTGGGAAATGGGGGGTACAACCCGAATTTCCCGCTGCCAGGGTAGGGCGACCCAACCTTCACACGTGGGTTCCCGAAGGGTTGCTGGGGAAATCGGGAAAACACACACACACACACAAACACACGGCATCGGTACTTGTCGCCGCTTCTTTTATAGGATTCCAGCTCCCATCTTGATCATGAACTTCAAGAGGGACCCCTAAAAGTGTTTGGTGGACAGAAGTCCCCCGCCGAATTTGGATGTCCGCAAGGGCTCCCTCCCCCTTCCCTCCCCCCTCCCCCCCCTCCCCCTTCCCTCCCCCTTCCCCCCCCCCCTCCCCCTTCCCTCCCCCTTCCCCCCCCCCCTCTCCCCCCTCCCCCCAATGGAAAGAAGCCGCAAGGCTTCTGACCGAGCATGAATCAAACGCCCATTTTGTCTCTGGTGCATTTTGCCAAGGGATGTTAGGACTGAACAGCTTTTGCCAACTCATGAACCGGTTTTCCGTGTTAAACCACTAAAAGTGATTCACTTTTCGCAGGGCTTCGCAGATTTCGTCACCGAGTTGTTCCAAGGACCGAGAAAAGGAATCCAAAAAAACTCCTCGCGGGCGAGGTGGTGCAACTGCCGGTCTCGGGCTACGCGGCCCTCAAGGCGCTGGATCTTTCTTCTTCCATTTGCTGAAATGAATATTATTATTTGATTTTCCCCAGTTGGTTTTAAAGGGAATCCATCACTACTGGACAAATATTTTTCTTCCCAGGGGACTGAAGCAAATGGAAGACCTCTTTTTTTGAGGGGTTAGAGCTCCGAGGTCACTGCTGGCGGGCAGCGTGCGGCTCGCTGAAATGGATCTGCCCCATGGATTATCCCAAAAGACCGATGGATTCAACTTTGTTTGGCCATGGTTCAAAACCAATGGTACCATTTTGGGACGTCGATTTAAACCCACTATGGATAAGCTCGGGTTGATTTTTTAACACGGGGCCAGCATTACTTGGGTGCATTTTGCCAAGGGCTGTTAGGACTTTACAACTTTTTGCCAACGAACTCGGGTTTTCCGTACTAAACCACTAAAAGTTATTCACTTTTAGCAGGGGAGCAGAAAGCAACCGAGTCTATCTCTTCTTCTGAAAAGAACCCCAAAAAGGAGAACGTAACAAAAAAGGTAGACAGGAAAAAAACATAGATCTAAATGTAGGTTTGTCTTAAAATCAAGGCCCCCCCGCCCTAAATACTTGGTTTCCACCCACAGGCGCGCCGTCCAAGAAAGACACCCCCCCCACCAGTACATATATATATATATGTATATATATATATATATGTATATATATATATATATGCAAACTATACATATATATATATATGTGTATGCGTATGTATTTTATATCTATCTAACTTTTGATCCAGGTCTGGAGACCTCGCAACACTACTTTTAGAGCCCTTTGGTTCCACCTCGACCTGGGAAAAAGGTCATAGCAAGGCCGATTTGAAAATCAGTTCATATATGAGTGTTTTTGTTACAATGAATTTTGCACCCATATACACCTTTAGTCATGTTGGTAGAACCAAACTATTGGCTTTCTAGTTTGAAAAACAGCGCCAGGCCCTGAGTGGTTTTAAAGGGAAGCCAAAAAGGAAGTCACTCAGATGGGCCAAAAGGGGGTCCCCCAAAACCGACACATCCACATATCTGAGCCAGCTGAAGGACCTTCTTAAAAGAAAACCACAAGGACACCCCACCATTTTGCGGGGTCCGATTCCTCAAAAGCGACCCGCCGCTCTGAATCTACCCCAGGCCGCCTTTTCGTCAAGGGATGTTCGGACTTTAACTTTTTGCCAGCTGATGGGTTTTCCGTATTAAACCACGAAAAGTGAGTCGCTTTTAGCGGGGCTGGGCAGATTTCGCAACCGAGAGAAATAGCACGCCTTCATGAGCGCGCGCGCGAGCCATCGCCAGGGCCGGCGCTCGATCTTGGACTACGGGGAGCTGCTGAGCAACGCCTTTGGGCCCCCGCTGAAACTGGCGCGGTGGGTTGTGGGGGGGGGCTACCGGCCGTGGCGAAAAGGACGATTTCTGTTTATTTTTCGGTTGGTTTTAAAGTTGGAATCGATTTCACTAGTGGGACTATTTTGATTCTTATGTCTATTTCTATTCCACTAGTGGGACTATTTCTATTTTTTCCAGGGGGCGAAAAAGCAACTGGCAGCTAGGAGAGTTGCGGGAAGTTGTGACTTGGGGAGTCCAGGCTATTACTCGAGTCCCTGCAGCTTGAAGGGGCCATCGGGTACTTGGTAAAATTTGGTTACATAGCCCGCAGCCGTCGCTGTCTCCTCCAAAACTATTTCATACTTTAGGGTTGGAACCACACGAGAACCCAAATTCCTCCCCATGGATTTGTTTTTTCCTCCGCAGCTGAAAACGCCATGGGTTTGGTCTCCGGGTTGGGGGGGGCGGCAGCTTGGGATGCCACCTCTTTGCTGCAAAATGGCCAAGGGAGGTTAGGACTGAACAACTTTTTGCCAACTCATGAAACGGTTTTCCGTATGAAACCACGAGAAGCGAGTCACTTTTCGCAGGGCTTCGCAGATTTTTCCGTATTAAGAGCCACTCAAAGTGAGTCACTTTTCGCAGGGCTTCGCAGATTTCGCCGCCGAGCAGAAAGCTTGCGGCAGGCCATGGAGGGGCCCAAAGAGGCGCAGGCAGGGGCCCGAGGGCCGAAGAGCGGCTGGTGGGGGCGCGCGGGTGCTTTTGGTTTTTGGAGCTGGGTGAAGTCATATCACTGTGGGGGTAAGGGGAAGCCAACCTCATCTCAGTTTGCGGGTGGTAAGGGGAAGCCAATTCTTCTCCTTCTCAGTTTGGGGGTAAGGGGAAGCCAGCGGGAAGCCGAACGTTTTGGAGGTGCCCGAATTTGCTGCCAAACCTTTGTCTTGGGGTTCTCATATTCGAGCTTGAGACAGCTCCAGGGGACTTGGTTGGCCGCTTGCGAATCCCGTTTTTTCTCGGCCCGGCCGGATTTTGCGAGGCACCTCTGTTTTCCTTCGAGGCGGTTTCTGACGCTTCTCTTGGGCTCACTTCCTGAGTTCATGAACTTTAAACTTTTTGGGAAGACCATTTTAGTGGTAAACATAAAGTTTGGTTACTTTTTTTTGGCCATCCACTCAGCCAGTGAGAGCATCGTTCCTTTCCAAGACCGGATCCGTTTCCCTTGGGGTTCCGCTGGTTTCCTGGAAAGATTTTCGGAAGCCGCCCCCCTTCCTTCTCAGCTTGGGGGTCGGTTTGGGCATGGAAGTGTCCCCTAGAGCTTCGGTTTCGGTTTCGCCTCATAGCGTCTTCTTGTGCTCAACATCTGGCTTGACGGTCTGGTCATTGGTCATTCACCGCCAGTGAGGGTGTCATCAGCAACATCACCTACCAGCTTTGGATTTCCCACTTTCGGTCTCGGTTTCGGTTTCTCTTCGCTGCTCTTCGGTGTCGGTTTCCTCGGAGCCGCTTCGAGCCGCTTCGGTGTCGGAGGGCGCGAAGCTGTCGGAGCTGCTGGAGCGCGTGGTGGGCTTCGAAGTCTCGCCACTCGCCCGTCGAGACCGAGACGGCTGCGGGTCTGAGGGTCTGAGGGTCTGCGCTGTGGAAATCGGTGTCTAGAGATGGACCAAAAATTCTTAAAGGACATGGGCAAAAGCTCGAGCTTTCACTTGATTCAGAACATTCTCAAAATTAGTTAGTGGGCACATACATCCATGTAAATGATGTCCACCAACCGGATCCCGAGTTCAAATTCCCATAGCCCCATGGCTCTCTTGAGGTGTTCACTCTCTCAACTCCGGACCTGCTTGGTGATTCGGTTCTTCACTGAGCTGGTTGATTTGCAGAAACGTATCCGCATTCAGGTGCCAATCAGTCACTGACCTGAACGGCGAGGCGCCGCCATGGGTTTTTCCTACAGGCTTTGGGCCTCTCATGTGTCGTCTTATTTTGATAGCGCCCTTGCTGCGGGTGTTTCAATTCACGCCAAAGAGATGCGACCGATTTTGATTGGGCTCTCCTCGTTGGAGAGAAGCCCAACAGAAACCCGTATCGTGGTAGATGGTCACAAGCATGGCATATAATAGCGAGCCACCGACCCGATGCTGCGGGGAAACGGGTAGAACGAGCTCTCCCATGGCAGACGCTGAAGTGGCCATCTGGATTTCGGCTGTCCAGTTTTTGAGAGAGCGCTTTTTAGGCTCGTTTAAAAGGAAAACGGGAAAACCACACCATTTATCAGGTCCAACATCCAAATCTCTATATTGAGACAAACCCATTTGCATCCCTTCGGCCCAAGAGAGAGGAACCAGATCTTATCCTTCTTTGCATTTCATCCCCACCCCAAGCACCGGACCCGTCCCCCAAAGCCACTTGGGCACGTACCAAACGCCAAATATAGTCTGCTACTACGACTATTGGTTTAACATATCCCACAACCCAATTCGAATGATTTACGCCCCATCAGTATTGGCTGCGTTGTCTTGTTCGCTACATGCTCGGTCACCAGTACAGAACAAGAGGCTTCAGCAAACTCAAGCCGCACATTGCCTGCCCGCGGCCTTGAACAAGGGACCTCTCCAAACGGTTGGCATCGCTAGTTTGCGTGCGGCCCCTAAAGGCCTGATGATTGTTTTTAGCAACCGCGTTTTCCTTTACGTTATGTTTAAGGGTCAAGCACATTTCGTCATCGAGTCATTCAGTCAGCGATTTGTTCCTTCCAAGCACTTGGGAGTATTCCCTGAGTTCATGGACTTGAACCACTATTTGGGTTTGGACCTTTTTAGTGGCAAACAAACAGTTCAGACTTTTTGAGACTGATCCACTCAGGAAGTGCGTGTTTCTTTGTCTTTGGGCTCGTTTGGCCCCATCCACTCGGGAAGTTGGAGCATTCCCTTGGTTCCCGTTGCCTTCGGGAGTTGCATTTACCGTTTTGTGTTCAACATCAACACCGCCAGTTGGCGATGTTTCGGTTTATCCCAGGAGAAAAAAACGGCCCGTCCCTCCCGGGGCGCGTTTCGGGGGGTTTGTGGCCCGTCCACAAATGGTGTGTTTAACCAGCTTGCCTTCAGGATCCCTGGAAGAGAGCCGGGCAAACGGAACCCACAGATGTGTCTCTCTACGCGGCGATGTTCAACAAGCTTGTTGAAACAATGTGCAGGACTTGGACCCACCATGGCATCGGTTGACTCATTTTGTCCCGTGAAAACCATGAGAAGAGGTACCAAGGCACCATGGAAGAACACCGGCAAATCTGCTCAAAAGGGGCCTTGTACCTAGTAAGTGTTTGGCGAGCCTGGTGAAATAGCCCTCCGTTCAGTGGGTTATGTCACCAGGCTTACTGACCGCTTACCTGGCGTAGCCGATCGCATCGATCGCCCCTTTGCCACGATTTCTGAATCCCCTCCCCATAGCCACAATGCCATGGTCTCTAGCCCATGTCCTTTAAAAATGCCCATGGTTCATGATATGAATCCCGGTGTTTGAAGTCTGCGTCGAGGAGCCTTCCCGCCAACATGGTACCAACTCCAGACAACAACTGGACGGGCTTGGGGATGCCCTTAAAAGACACCACCTTAGGGATGGTTTTTTTGGGTTGGGGTTGCAGAGGAGTCCTTTCTGGTGGTCTTGGTCGAAGAGTAGATGGGTTTCCCTGGTACTGCCTGTTTTTTTTTTCCTCAGCTGCCAGGGTATCCATCTATTTGACCTAAAAGGACACCTACGACTCTGAAATGTTGTTTTCTTTGTTTTTTCCCCGACAGCTGCAAGCTTCTTTTGCTTGGGGGATATCTTCATTTGCTTGGGGTGAGCCAGTTCTCAGTTGGCTCGCCCCCCGTGCCATGGACACCTTGAGTCTATTTTGCACCCGTGAACCCCAAAAAACCAATACCCTAAAAGAAGGAGGTGGCAAAAAAGACCCATTCAGTGTCCACCATACCCCCCCCAAAACTTCCCCAAAACCCCCCCAAAACCCTCTCGCGCAGCGATTGCCATAGAGGACTTTGCCAGGATGGGGAGCCTCAGGCCTGGACGGAGCCGCGCTCCCCGCCCTTTGCGCCCGGAGCCTTCAGGGGCTCAAGGGCCGAAGGCTCGGGCGTGGAGGTTCGGGGAATTTTGGGGTTCTTGGCCCGTCTTGGGGCGGAAATGTTGGGGCGATGTTTTTTGGGGTGTGGCTTCTTGGGGGTACTTCTTGGGGGGTGGTTTTTGCACAAACTTGGCGGCTCCCGGCATAAATCGCCGGGTTCAACTTAGGCTTTTTGCTTTTTGGGTGGTTTAGTGGGGGTGTTTATGGTTAACCCACTAAAAGTGAAGCTTTGACGGCGGATCTGAGGACAGCAACACCAAAAACGACATCAGCCAACAAGGAGCAGAACAGGCGACCAACCCCACCCAAAAAAAAACGCACGATTTCTGTTTCCTGGTCGAATGTTCACGGACAAAGAACCCCAGCCTACTTTTTTGGGGCGGACGAAGGCCCGTCGAAACGGGGCTCCACGCCTATCCTCGGTCAGCGGCCCTGACGCCTTTTCAAGCTGACCCCAAGTTAAGAGAAGCTCCAAAGCTGTGCTTTGGGGTGTGCTTTTTTGTGTGCTTTTGTGTGCTTTTGGGTGCTCTTGGGTGCACCTGTTTTGGGGTATTTCAAGGGAAGCCACAAGGAAACCACCCATTTTGGGGGTCCCGAGTTTGACCCTTACCCAAAAGGGGCTCCTTTTCGGAAAAGGGATGTCTTCAACTGACCCACAAAAGCCAGGCGGTTTGCCAATCTGCGCACGACAAGTACTCATACCCGTTCCCGTACGTATACAGGTTACCAAAAGCGCGTTGCACAGCTTTGGTCCACATGAGGCTCGGTCCAGTTTTTTCCCCGTCTTTGGTCCATTTGGGAGGGACGAGAAGGGGGCTCACTTTCCCCACAAAGGATCATGTTCCAATGTCCATGACAAACGAGTCATTTCCACCATGGCTCACATCGAGTCGCAGCCTTCCCCTGCCGAGGTATCAGCTCTACCACGTTTGGGCGCGCCTGAAAGGCGAGAGATTGAGAGAGATACGAGTTTGTTTGGTTGCTTGTTTGATATGCTGGTGATAGGGGAGCAGGCGGACAGCTGACGAGCCACACAACGTCCATTGGAAAGATGCCCTTTCTATCATTGTGCGAGCTTTTGTGTTTCTGCGTGTGAGCATGTACTAGGTCCCCCAGCTAGGTGCCCTTTCTCACCCCTTTTTGGTTGGGAGGGTTCCCCTACTAAAATAGACTACAGAAAAAAGGGTACCCTTATTCTAACCTCTCTACTGGAGGAGCTAGTTTAGGGAAGGCTCTTGACAAGGATTGCAAAGCGAGGCTGCACGCAACAGTCGCAAGTGAGATGTGGCTGGGGAGCTGTCGCCAGGGCTGAACTGTGCCCGTGCCAATGCCAAGCAGCAGGCAAGTGGGGGGGTTGGGGACAGGTGAGGAGTGGGGGTTGGGCACAAATGGTGGAGCTGTTTACTGGCAGGAAGCGCTTTTTGTGTGAATCCATGGATTTCATTTGTTCTCATTGGTCAGGGGTCCTGGATTTCTTGACCAGAGGACTGACCTTGAAGGCGTTTGGCTCGGGGCCTCAAGGAATCAGAAAACCCCTGGCCCGGGCTTGAGCATCGGCTTGAAAAGCCGGGCTTCGCCAGCTTGAAAAGCAGATCTCGGAATGTGTCGAGAAGCTATGCCTGGCTTTGACCCTTTTGTTTCTTTTTGTTTTTTCTTTCTTTCTTCTTCTTTTTGTTTTTTTTCCTTTTTCGACCCCATTCGTTCCGGCAAGGCGACATGGGGGCAATTTGGTGCACATGGCAATTGATGGAATCCCGACTTGGGGACTCCACAAGCAACGCCATGTTGGGAAGCGGCGTTGACCTTCACCCGGGTTTGATTGAGAATGGGGTGTTGGGGTACTTTCAACTAAATTTAGCCATGATCATGGGAAAATCATGCTTGTAATTGTTTAGCCCTTATACTACGTCCCTCTTGTTTGGATGGGGGACACCTTTCAAGAATCAGCCCAACAAGGGTGGCCTTTTTGCTTTCCCTAAATCTGCTGAATGCCTTTCCTGTTCAACAAGGATGCCCCCCCCCACCCTTCAAACATGCCATCCACCCGCCTTCTGCCATTTGGGTTCTGAAAACTGTGGACCCAACTCATCTACCCTCCTTCTGCCAGGGTTTGAGCCCCAAAGTTGTTGCTCCCGCTCTTGGTTTGCCTTTTAAATGGCTGTGGGTCACAAATAGGATCCAACATGGAACCGTGGTAACTGGACATATGGACAAACACCAGCGGTTTTCCCTGGCGGCTTAGTTTTGCACCATACCCATTTGGGTTCTCATAGGAATTTGATTCACCCACACGAGGTTTCCCTTTATGCAGGGAATGAGAAATGGAATGACCCCGAGAATCACCATCCCCGATTTGGTGTCCTGTAAGGGAATCCCTAGATTCACCAACAAGTTTTGCCAACCGTTTTTCCTTCTTTTTTTTTTTTCTCCCAGCCTCCTGGTGGTGTATTAATTGCCCTTGTCCTAGTGGGTTTTGGTGTTTTCTTTTCCCCTTCTGGTGGCTTCTTTCTCCTAGTTTTTTGTTTTTGTCTTTCTCCTGGTTGTTTTTGTTCATTTTGCGCCAGGCCCCAAAGGACCCCAGGCCACCGAAGCGAAATACCTCGGCAGCTTTGGCCGTCCAGGAGCTGCAGCTTCGCGCCGCGGCCCGCGGGCTCAGCGTGTCAGATCCGGGCAAGCGGCCGCCCGTTTCGGGTCCACAAACACACGGGGCAATTCTAAGGCACGCGGCTTGTGAGTCGAAGAATATTTGTTTGCAATCTCCAATTTCCCCCTCCCACTCCCACTCCCCCTCCCCTTCCCCCTCCCCTCCCTCTCCCTCCCTCCCTCCCTCCCTCCCTCCCTCCCTCCCTCCCTCCCTCCCTCTCGTTCTCTCGTTCTCTCATTCTCTCGTTGTCTCTCTCTCTCTCTTCTCTCTCTCTCTCTCTCTCTCTCTCGCTCTCTCTGTCTCTCTCTCTCTCTCTCTCTCTCTCTCTCTCTCTCTCTCTCTCTCTCTCTCTCTCTCTCTCTCTCTCTCTCTCTCTCCCCCTCCCTCCCTTTTTTCCCATGTTCCGTTCCAGGTCCTGCCTCATGGTCAAGTCTGAGAAGTCATCCCTCCCGCATTTCCACGTCGTGTTCTCAGGCCCTTTGTCCATCTTTGGCTCGAGTTGAATGAACTTGGCAGCAGCTTTCCTTGTTTCTGGGGTTTTGTGTGATCCACCTAGACTTTGGGGCTATTTGCTAGCGGATCTTTGGACTTGGTTGAAACAGTGGAATGTCCATTGGACCCATAAAAGGACAAACTTTTTGCAGAGGGGTCAACAGCAACCGAGTAGATTAGATTCATGTCAGTGTCTCGTCGGGGCAGTGTGTTTCCAGGGGGCGGAATTATCATTTCAGCGTGTTCCCACGCAAGTCCGTGTTGGGGGAGTTTTATGTCGTGTGTTTGTTTGTTTCTTTGGTGAGTTTTTAAATTCAACACCCCCTTTGAACCAAGCAGAAGTGTGGTGTTTCTCAAGAGCAGGGCTCCCCTGACACGGTTGATGTCCATTTACTGTAGTTCCCTGTAGATGCCAACTAAAAAGGAGGTCCACCATGTCATGGACCCTTAAGGCGGGCCCCGGGGGGGTTGAGGGGGGGGCTATCCCTGGAAAAGCCTAGGATAAGCCAAGGACAAGCCCTTTTTCTTGGGCCTTGGGGCTTAACAAGGGATACTGTGGATGGACGAAATCCATTTCGCACCACCTAAGAAAGCCCTGGGTGATGCTTCCCCTGTAAATACCAATAGTTTGCTATGGGTTTCAAAGTGGTGCGAAACGGAATTCGTCCACCCACAGGTCCCCCTTGCGCGGCTCCCTGAAAGGGGTCCATGTCTAGGTGTTCCAGTAGCGAGGTTACAAATAAGGGTGCCCTATTTTGGTAGGGGAACCCTCCCAACCAAAAAACGGGGAGAGAAGGGCAGCTAGCTGGGGGACATAGATGTGGTGCTTCCTTCTGCCTTCACCTTGAAAAAAAAAGTCTTCGAGGCTGGCACCCCGGAGGCTCTGGCCGAGAGCTTGGTCTGGAGACATTCAAACGTGGATCTCGTCTCGTTGTGTTTTTTTCCCCCTCCCCCCCGCGTTCCTGTTGTTTGGTTATTTCCTTAGATCTGTACATGCATACAAATATATAGTAAATACAACTAAATGTGGTGTGTCTTTTTCACTCGTTCTTTACATATTTCTTGAGTTGGGGCCCATGTTTTGTTGTGAAAACAAGGGACACCAAAGGAACACCCACCATTTTGGGGGGTCCCCTAAATATATATATATATATATATATATACATATCAAACTGGTTTTGAGAATTGAGCCCCACGCCCAAAAGCCATGGTGGTGAGAAACAGGGGTTCAGGGCCCATTTCTGTGAGCGGCCAAGGGACTCCTTAGGCTATACAGTGGTCACGGGAATGACCCCATGTTGGCGTCACAGATTTCCAGCCTGACGACCTGTGAATCACGAGTGACCCTCAAACTCATGAAGCTCGCGAGCCTAGAACCTGACTTGTGCCTGGCAGACCATTTCTTCCGCCACTCGGGGCATTCTGGTGGGTTCCATGGTAATTGGGAGCGCCTGCTTGCCCGTTTCCTGCTCCTGAGCCACTTGCTCAAAACCCGGGTAGATGAAGGTTAGTAAGGGACAATCCTTTGTATTTCCTTACATGGTTCTGGGTCAACCATTTTAATACCGGGTTTTGATTGTGACTCTCCTTCTCCTCCTTGCTACTCTCTCACTCACTCGCTCGCTAGCTCGCTAGCTCACTCACCCAGCCACCCACGCACCAACGCACGCACTCACTCACTAAGCATGAAAATGAACATGTGTCACGCAGCTGGATACCACGCGAACAATTGAAAGATCCCAAGAAGGACCGGTGCTTGTGAGAGTACTCACTTCCTGAGTTCATGAACTTTAAGCTTTTCGGGAAGACCATTTTAGTGGTAAATATAAATTTTGGACTTTTTTTGGGCCATCCTCTCAGCCAGAGGAAATACCCGCCCCTGTGACATGTCGCAGCCAAAGCTCAGGCGAAAAAGAGCAGAATTGAGCTGTGCTCAGCTCGTGAATGCCGTTGGGTTCGTAGCCTAACCTCAGCTCAAAATCAACAAGGCCTTTTTGCTTTTCTAGTGCTGAGATCTCCAGTTTTCGGTTTTCCTGAAGAGATTTCCATCATGTCACATCCAAGAAAGTCAGAGTCTGAGCCCAGGTAACCAAACTCCGATCCAAAGTCCCAGCGTCCGGAGTTTCCCGAATCCACGGCAAAGGATTCCCCTGGCCTTTGATTTGGGCCGTCTTCAGGCGAAACGGCCGCGCCAATTTCCTTGTTCAGGCCATGGTTTCTTTCATGGTTTTGGGCCTGTGGATGCCCATGCTATGTTTTGCCCATGGGAACAAGTTGACATCCAAAGGTAACGTCAACCATAAGTCTTCCAGGGAGCCAAGGGCCACCCGCCATGAGCTGCAACCACAAGAAAGATATTCGTTGGCATCCGCCGCCCGAAAAAGGAACGCGCCCAACCGTTTGGATTTGGCGGTGGGTCAAAAGCATTTTGGAAACCCCGGGTGAACATCAAAGGCGGTACATGGGTGTTCATCCGCCCCAAAAATGGAGGCATAGGCCACAAAGAACATATTCGTTGGCATCCACTTCCTGAACAAACGAAACCCGCGGCCAACAAAAATCCGAATCGTCCAAGCCATGGACCCGGAAAAACCCGAAGAGACGGTGGTGTGGCTACCGCACCCGGATGGCTGGAAGCTGTTGTGCCTCCGCATGGACCCCACAGCAACGTTGCTCGGCAAATTTTTGGAACGACTTGAGCTGAGGTTGCCTTTTGTTTTTTCTGTTTTGTGTTTGCGTTGTTTTGTTTTTGTGTTGTGGTGTCTCGTGTGTTGGTTGCGTTGCTTGATTTGTTGTGTTTTTGTGTCGTCTTGTTTTGCATTATGTTGCTTGATTTGTTTTGTTTTGTTGTGTTGTGTCGTGGTTTGTGTTTGTTTTTTTGTTTGCTTGCAATTGTTTTCGACTTGCAGGCTTGTTTTGGCTTGCTGGCTTGTGAGCTTGTTGGTGTGTTGGTTTGATGGTGTGTTGTCTCTTTCTTTGTTTCTTTGTTTCTTTCTTTCTTCTTTCTTTCTTGCTTTCTTTTCTCCTTCCTTATTTTTTTCCTTCCTTATTTCCTTATTTCCTTATTTCCTTATTTCCTTATTTCCTTATTTCCTTATTTCCTTATTTCCTTATTTCCTTATTTCCTTATTTCCTTCCTTCCTTCCTTCCTTGTTTGCTTGCTGGCTGGCTGGCTGGCTGGCTGGCTGGCTGGCTGGCTGGCTTGCTTGCTTGCTTGCTTGCTTGCTTGCTTGCTTGCTTGCTTGCTTGCTTGCTTGCTTGCTTGCTTGCTTTTTGTTTTTCTTGTTTGGTTTGTTTGTTTGTTTGTTTGTTTGTGTCCGTTTGTTTGTCCGTCCGTTTGTTTGTCCGTCCGTTTGCTTGTCCGTCCGTTTGCTTGCTTGTTTGTTTGTTTGTTTGTTTGTTTGTTTGTTTGTTTGTTGTTTGTTTGTGTGATTGTTTGTTTGTTTGTTTGTTTGTTTGTTTGTTTGTTTGTTTGTTTGTTTGTTTGTTTGTTTGTTTGTTTGTTTGTTTGTTTGTTTGTTTTGTTTGTTTTTGTTTGTTTGTTTGTTTGTCTGCTAAGACAGGTATTAGGGGTGAGCCGGCTATCTTGCACTTGGCAAAGCCAGGGTTGTGGCGATGAGGGGTTGGTTCCCACTGTGATACCAGTGAACGGAACCTTCCCTTGTAGGAATGTTTGGAAGGCCGCCTGTTGGTACCTCTTTGAAGTGGTGAGTTTTTCACATTGGACGACGCCCCTTCACTTCTGATCAACATTTTTGCAACTTACTAGCCTCCTTGTTTTGCTCTCAAAGCCAGGCACAAGAACACCCCCCCAAAACAAAACAGAAAAGAAACACAACAACACACAAACAAACAAACCTCAGACCTTCCATTTGCTCAAGGATACGTTTCGTTTCTCCTTGGTTTTAAAGGGGATCTCTCACTACTGCACGTTTTTTCTCTCATTTTTCTCGTGGAGCGAGACGTGCTAAGAAGCAAAAAAGAAAACCGCGTGCCAGGCTGCTCCAAAGCGCTGCAAACATCCTAGATGATGTCCTCTCACGTGCGATGGGGGAGATCAGCCGGGTGCAGGACATGCGGGAGGAGCCGGATTGCCGGGGAGTCCGTCGATTGGTTTTCAGATATGTGGGGGTTGATCAAAAGGTGCGTGATACATGGGACCTTGGGAGGGTACCCTCTTTCCAACAATGGACGTGGATAGGGAAACCTCAGAAGCAGACAACTAACTTAAATAAGCAAACCGTTTGTATATATATATATATATATATATGTACAACTCTATACATCCACATGATTCCCCAGCAGCTCAATTTGGAGGCCAGGTTTTTTTGATCAACTGTCATTTCTGGAGCTCGGAGGGGCTAAACAGCTCACCCTCATTGTACGTCCTGAAAACATGGGGATCCCAGAAATATATTTTTTCAAATTCGATTGGTGAAGTTGCAGACCTACCCAGTAGTCTGTGGTGAATGGTAACCACTGCTCGGTGCCCACCTCGAGCAAATGACGTTGGCTAGGCTGAGTCGATGTGATTTTGGTCGGTCGTTGTAGTTGTCGTGCCCTATTGTTTGTTGATCCTATTGTGTGCCGCAGTGTAGACCAGTGTGTTACAGTGTTTTTTTGCGCGCACTCATCCCAATCCGACCTTCAGCGTGTTTCTTTTGGTACTCCTCCTCCGGATCTAAGGTTTCAAACTTTTGAGGGCACCCTGGGACTTTTTTTTGGAAGGGCTCCACCATGTCTGAGCTTTGATTTTCCAGTCGGACAAACGGCGTGCTGGGCCTTTGTGTCCAGGCGCGTGTCTTTTTTTCAGGAAGAGGTGACGGAATGGGTGGTGAACCAGCTGCGCATGAACGGGCTGTGGCCGGAACACACCTACGCCTTGAAGCTGTCGGTGCCTCGAATGTCTTTGGAAACGGCAAAACGCCCTTCAAGGGTTTGTCCAACAACCATTTGCTTAAGAATATGTTTTATTATTATTATTATTTTGCCCTGTTGGTTTTAGAGGGAATCTATCACTATTGGACATATATATTCTTCCGGGGGGCTCAAGCAAATGGAAGTCTAAGTGTCGCCAGCTGAAAGCCTTGGGGTCGATAGATGGCCACTTGAGGCTTGTTCGAAAAACCGATACGTTTTATTGTGACCTTTTGCCGCTGGTAAAGTTTCCAATCGGGCGCAACCCGATTTCCCAATGTCCTTTGGCGAAGCAAGAAAAAGCTCGCCCGGGGCTTGAGCGGCGAAAAAGGATAAGTGGACATGTCTGGCCATAGACAAAATCCATTTCGCACCACCGTTCAGAAACCCTGGAATGGTGATTCCCCTGTAAATATCAGCAAACAATGGTTTTTCATGGTTTCAGAGTGGTGCAGGTTTTCGTCCATCCACAGTATCTTTGATGGACATTTGTTTTTGGGGCGTTATATCTGCCGTGTTTCGGATGATGCTCCAAACATGAATCTCATCCAGCACGTCGGCATGGCACCTGAACAAAACAGAGCTGGGGACAATTCTGCTGAACCAAAAAAGGATGCCTAGGTGATGAACGCTGGTTGAAACATTTGCCTCCTAGCGTCCCTTGTTTTTGTTTTTAGTCTCCACAAAGCATCCCGGGTGAGGCGCGCGTATGTTTTGTTTTTTTGGCCAAGGGCAGCAGACTTCCCATAAAGTAACTCTGAGCAAAAGCCTGTCTTAATTACGTTTGAATGTATGATGTTACTCAACAGACCTTCGACGCTAAAACTCTATTGTTGAAGCTCAGAAGCGGCTCTTGACGAAGCATGGCTAGACCCATATAACAACTATGCTTGGTTGCATACCATGTTATACCAAGGTGGGCAGTTGGGTCAGTGGTGACGTGTCCCAACAAAAGCAAAGTTAAGTTCAATCCACACCAGCCGAGGAGTTTTAACCTTGGAACCCTTGGCAAAAGCTTCTTACCCCCCGCACTATATGCAATAACATGAAAGGTTGCCAATGCCCCCGAAAGGGCAAATTTAGTTTGCTGCTTGGTTTGACGGGTGTCATAGCGAGGCTTTTACATCGTAGTATTCTACGTCAGTGTGTATTATATTATACTATACTCTATTATTTTATGTCATATCATATTCCATGATATGATATGAGATGATACCATATTATATGATATATATGTATAATCATATTATATAGCATATCATATTCTATCATATTTTCTATAGCATAGAATAGCACAATACAATCACGTGACACATTGCACAGCATCTCACATTCACAACATTATTCACACCCATGTCACTCTCCCACCAATGACAGGGACTGTCCCTTTAAAAGGAAGCTGGTGAAAAAACCCAGGACCATTTCCCCGAAGGTCATGTGCCATGTGAAAAGGGTGGGAGGGTAGAACCAGTCAACCTCGCGCGGGTCTGCGAAGCTCGAAGCGAACCTTCGACTTCAGGTGCATAGGCGTCCTTTTAGGTGAGTTTGGTTAAAAAGATGGATGGGTTCCACTGGTTCAATGGGTTTTGTGCCTTTTCCCAGGGCCATCGATTTTTCCAAAAGGCCACCTATGTTCACCACAGGTTTCTTTCCGTTGGTTGAACTCCCAGCTAACATTGGGGCCCCAACCCCTGCATATCATTGGGTGTCCAGTCAATCAAAAGGGAAACCAACAGGAGAACCAGCACTTGGGGGGGGGAAGGTCCCCCTATTTCGGGTTCCCTTTGTCCACCTTTCGGGTCAGTAGCTTTGGTTGCTATAGAAGGTTGTGCAATGTTGTGCATAGGTGAGCCACAGAATGTCTTAGAGCTGATTCCTCAGATTGGGGTGTCTCGTTTTTGTGGTTCCCCCCCGCAAAAATGGGGTCGTTTTGTGGTACCCCCTTAGATTGAGGTCGTTTTTGTGGTACCCCCCCAAAATATACATATATATATATATATACACGTTCTTTTTCCTTTTGGCTTCTCTTCGACCGCCAACACCTTGGGACTACCGAGCCATCGACAGGTGGGCCACGGGCAGCGGGAGATCAGCGCCTGCGGCTGCGGCAGCAACCAGAAGCACCGGAAGCGCGTGGCGCACCTGGCCCTGGCGCTGCGGATCATGGTGGAGTGCGCCCACCGGCAGCGGGGGGATCTGCTGCAGGCGGAGCCTTTGGGGGTGGGGTGGGGTGGAGGGGTGGAGCTGGGTTGAGGGGTGCAGGGGTTGAGGGGTTGGGGGGTTGGGGGGTTGGGAGGTTGAGGGGTTGAGGGGTTGGGGGGTTGAGTTGTTTGGGGTTGAGTTGTTTGGGGTGGAGTTGTTTGGGGTTTGGCCCCGCGATTGAAACCCCATCGGTTTGGTTGTTTCTTTGAGCCTCGTGCAAAGCCGCGATTTTGGATGAACCCCCCCAAAGTAGGAAGACAGCAAGAAAGAAACAAAGAAAGAAAGAAAGAAAGAAAGAAAGAAAGAACGGAAGGAAGGAAGGAAGGAAGGAAGGAAGGAAGGAAGGAAAGGAACAAAATAAACAAATAAAGAAATAAGGAAGAAATAAGGAAGGAAAGAGAGAAAGAAAGAAAGAAAGAAAGAAAGAAAGAAAGAAAGAAAGAAAGAAAAAAAGAAAGAAAGAAAGAAAGAAACAAAGAAAGAAAGAAATGAAAGAAAGAAATGAAGGAAATAAATGAAATAAAGAAAGAAATGAAAGAAAGAAATGAAGGAAAGAAATGAAAGAAAGAAAGAAATGAAAGAAAGAAAGAACGAAAGAAAGAAAGAAGGAAAGAAAGAAGGAAAGAAAGCAAGAAAGAGAGAAAGAAGGAAAGGCACAAAAAAAATACATACATAACGAGAAAGACGGAACTAACGGAAGAACAAGCGAGAGTACAGAAAGACAGAAAGAAAGAAGGACAGAGCCAACTACAGAAATATATGCAGAAACAAAAGAAAGAACTAAGGAAAGAAAGAAAGAAAGAAAGAAAGAAAGAAAGAAAGAAAGAAAGAAAGAAATAATGAAAGAAAGAAAGAAAGAAAGAAAGAAAGAAAGAAAGAAGAAAGAACGAAAGAAAAACAATAACTAATATAAAGAAATAAAGAAAGAAAAGAAAGAAAGAAAGACAGAAAGAAAGAACGAACGAACAAAATAACATAGATAATGAAAGAAAGACATACTGAAAGAAAGAAAAGAAGGAAAGAAAGAAAGCAAGAAGGAATGAAGGAAGGGAAGGAAGGAAGGTAGGCAGGGAAGGGAAGGGAAGGGAAGGGAAGGGAAGGGAAGGGTAGGGTAGGGTAGGGAAAGGAAAGGAAAGGAAAGGAAGGAAGGAAGGACGAAAGAAAGAAAGAAAGAAAGAAAGAAAGAAAGAAAGAAAGAAAGAACCAAAGTGCTCAATACACACATACATACAGACAGAAAGCGAGAAAGAAGAAAGACATACAGAAACAAAGAAAGCAAGAAAGAGCGAAAGAAAGAAATGACGAAAGGAAGACATATTGAAAGAAATAAAGAGAAGAAACACAGAAGACAGAAAGAGACAAATAATGAACTACGCAAAGAAAAAACAGCGAAACAACTACAGAAAGAACGCATCAAGTAGATAACGAAATACATGAATAAAGAAAGACAAAATAAGGAAAGAAACAAAGACATACAAGAAGAAATAACTAGCAAAATATAATGTCATCAAACCAAAAACATTTACAGAAAGAAAGAAGAGCGCACAACATAACTACATAAATGAAGAACTAAAAAAGAAAGACAACAAAAGAGCAACAGCGTGAACGGGAAAAACCATGAACGACATCTATAAATAGAGAAACACATAGATAACGAGAAAGAGAAAGAGACAGACAAAGAGAAATACATAAATAACGACAAGGACAGATGAAGAAAAATAAGCAACGAAGAAAGAGGGAAAGAACGAAAAAAAAACAAACGGAAAGGAAGAAATAAAGAAGGAAAGAAAGGAAGAAATAAACAAAGAAAGCAATAAAGAAAGACAGAAACACAGACAGAAAGAAAGAAAGAAAGAAAGACAGAAATAGATAAAGAAAGAAAGAACTGAACAAATGAAAGACGAAAGACGAAATAAGACAAGACGGAAGGAACAAAAGGAAGGAAAGACAGACGGACAGAAAGAGAGAGAGAGAGAGAGCCACACTTCCAAGGGCCTCAAGAGGAAGACACATCTCCGGAAATTCCACAGCGGCAACCTGAGGCGGATGTTGAGAACGGTCAAATGGTTTCTGCTCGCTTGAGTCCGGTCTCTTTGGCAGCCTTTGAAGGTGGCAGTTCATTGGTTCCTGGAAGGCAAAGGGACGTCAATCAGATGAACTTCATCATGTTTAAATTGCTGGCTGGAACCGTGCTTGAAGCTTGTCAGGAATGATGCATTGTCTCAAGCAGGCGAATGCTGCGCCTCAGCCTGTTGGGGTTGAGTGGCTTGTATCTGTTGAGGTACCCCTATTGGGTTGTTTGGACCAAATGTCAAACCGGTCCCCATTCGTTGGATGTCCATTGGAGACAAGCCCCGCCCCGCCAATTCTACCCTCTAAAGCTGCGCGGGAATGTGATGGGAAAGGGGGCGGGGTTGTCAAAAATCAGGTCCCCGTTTAGGTTTCTTCTTGGACTGGTGCCGTTTCAGGTCCCGCCCCAAAAAAACCGCGGGAAGGGTGTTAGACCGAACAAGTCATCCGCGCAGACGCTGTGGGACGGTCATCCAGGGCTTCAAACCGTGGCCTCGGCCGCCTTCCGCATGCAGAGCGTCACCCTGACGCGGGGCCGCCTCGGCGACGGCGCCGCCGGCGCCGCCGCTGCGCCCGGCGCCTCAGCGAGCGCGGCGGAGCGCTACGCGGCGGTGACGCAGTACGCGTCGATGTCGCCGGCGGAGCAGCTGCAGGCGAAGGCACGGGCGCTGGGTGCTGAAGAGGCCGGGTGCTCGGGGACGTCGAAGTGTCCCATTTGCCAGGGTCCCAGTTTGGGTACCTATTTCTGACCCACAGCCAGGTGATCAGGCGGGGATGGCGGCAAATGTGAGAGAAGTGGCCACAGCTGTTGGTGGTTATCTTGGGGAAAGGTAAAAATCTTGCTTCCTGAGCGGACTGGCCCAAATCGTCTCAACTGTGTCTCTATCATTCAATCGGTCTTCTCAAGAAGGATTAAGCCTGCCATCGGCTGGCTTGGGACGGTCCCCGCTGTTTCAGCTCTGGTTCGCGCTGTTGTCTGCGCGTTGGGCATGGTGTGTGGGGTTGGTTTGCAGGGGTTTAGGGGTTCATCCCATAGATTGGTGTGGGGCGTGCTTTGAATTTCAGCTTTGGTGGCTTTGCAGGCCAGAAATCCAGCAAAAAGGAATGCCCTCCTTGCAAGAAATCAAGGATGCCCCGGAAAAAAAGGAAACCTCTTCCCAAAGAACACACCTGAGGTGGGACTTGGAGTCGTCGCATATCGTGAGGTGTGCGTGCTGGACCCCTTCTTGACAGTGCAGGGAGACAGCGTGAAGTGTATGGCCTGTAACAAGCACATGACCTCCAGTCACCTCGCCACCAAGAGGCGCCAGGTGGTTTCATTTGGCCGGCCGGCTACCGCCAAGTGTTCGCCAAAATGGGCTTGTTTTATTTCGGGGAGGAAGTAGATGGTGGAACCTCAATCTTTAGGTTTTACAATTCTGTTTACGGACAGGAGAACAGCAGCTCCGAGTCAACTTCGATGTTGAAAAGGGTGCAATTTCGATGTTGAAAAGGGTGCAATCTACTGTATCTGCAAATTCTACCCCAAGCAAAGAGATCTCACAAAGAGCTCCGGTTAGCGCGTTTCCCCAGCAAACCTAGCCGTTTCAAGTGTTTATCTCATTTAGCCCCTATCAATCCAGACAAGTCCGCAGGGTAACCCTTAGTTGGTGGTTGGATTGGTGTTAACGGGAACCCCTGCTTAACCATCAAACCAGCGATTCGCCTCCAAACCACCAAACACTTGAAGCTTTTCTGATTGGAGGGTTTAAAGCTTGCGGCCCCTTTTGGGTGTGTCTTTGTAAGGGGTACCCCTCAAATTGATGGTTCTCCTGTTGGTTTCCCTTTCCAACCGCCAAAAAAGTTACACACACACACGCGCGCACACAACACAACACAACACAACACAACACAGCGCAACACAACACAACACAACGCAACACAGCACAGCACAACACAACACAACTCGACACCACACCACACAACACAACACACCACACCGCACCACACCACACCACACCACACAACAGCACAACACACACCACACCGCACCACAACACAACACAACACAACACAGCACAGCGCAGCGCAACACAACACAACACAAATCGACACCACGCAACACAACACAACAAAACACAACACAACACAACACACCACACCACAGCACAACGCAACGCAACGCAACAGCGCAGCACAACACAACACAACACAACACAACACAACGCAACGCAACGCAACGCAACGCAACACAACACACACACACACACCCACACCCACACCCACACCCACACACCCACACACCCACGCCCACGCCCACGCACACAGGCGCACAGGCACACAGACAGACACACAGACACACACACACACAGACACACAGACACACAGACACACAGACACACAGACACACAGACACACCGACACACCGACAAACAGCGACACACACCGACACACACCGACACACACCGACACACACCGACACACACACACACACACACACACACACACACACACACACTTATCTCGAGAGGCTTCACTAGCCGAGATGCAAAACGCAGTCAGTAAAAATGCTTGAATGCAAATGCAAATCAACAGGTCACAACATCGACACCGAACAGGAAGCAACAGCGACAAACAGAAACCGCAAAAAGAATCAGGAAAGAGGGTCAGGAAATAGGCAGGTACGCCGGATTGATCAGATCCGGTATCCACCGAAATGCCGTAGCTTCATTGGACTGGATAGGCAAATCGGCTCCAGTCCCCCTGCAATGTGGAATTTCCGTCCGTGCTCCAGGACGCTTCACACACACGGAGCCCCAACTGGGGCGACATCACTTGTGCAAGGCCCATTGAGTCTTGCAAGCATCAATTGTGCGAGAAAGTCTTGTGGCGATGACTGACCACACATACTTGGCTTTGGAATTGGTCTTAAGGGAACGGAGGAGTTCAATCTCTCCCTCAGTCCAAGGCTGCGAGGCTTCAGGTTCGGCCTCAGTAGAGGCATCAGTCCTGGTCGATGTGGTAGCTTCGCTTGGTCCACGAGCAGGTTTTGGATGCCGTAGATCGTGAGGAGGCCAAATCACGTGCGCGGCGAGCTCGTTTTTCGCCGGGAGAAGACGGAGGAGGGGTGGGCGGAGCCCAATGATCATTGTTCGTCATGATCAGTGGGAAGGTGTTCATCTGGAGCATCAGGAGGTGGCTCAAAGAGGTCCTCAATGGCGGGGTTGAGCGTGGCCTCCGGTGCCAAATCAGGTTCGGCAGTCGGACTCTCAGTGAACTCGCGGATGGTGGCGATGCCTTGTTGGGCAATGCCAAGGATGAGTTCGAAGTCTTGGAGCAGCTGGCGTGCTGTGTTGGTATCCATGCTCGCAACGGATTTTGGTCAAACAGTCAAACAGCTGCGGCACGAAAATCAGGTCAAATCTGTCAGGATGCAAAGGCAGAGAAGAAAACCAGTGTGGTTTCGCAAAGGACGGTTTTTCTTCTCTTTGTAAGGTGAAACCGTGTTGGAGGTACAACCTCTTCAACATTGCAAGATCCTGATCTCGCTGAAATTCAGGAAAGGAAACTCGGCTGATCAGCGTGCGTCTGGAATAATATCCAGATTCCTTATGTATCATTGGTGCGGCTGACTTGACGGAGAGCATGTTGTGCTTCTCATGCGAGGGAATGAAGGAGATGGTGCTGCTTGTGAGGTTCAGTCGGAACCCCAAGAAGTCCAGGGCGGCTTCTGTTTCCAGGAAGATCTCCTCCATAGAAGTGTTCGTCGCACAGTATGTTGGCTGCCGGAGTCGAGAGCCACCTGGGGGTTGCGATCACGAGTCTGTTGTCCACGTAGCGGAGCAGGAGAGTATCTTCAACGGAGCGAAGTCCCGATGTGGTGTGAGTGTTGGTCCAACATTGTTCGGCGACCGCGATCACCATCAAACAGAGAGCTGGGGACGCGGGGGATCCCATCGGTGCCCCACGTGTTTGCCTGAATGAACGAAGGCCGACAGAGAAGATCTGCATGTCAAGGGTGGCCTGAATGATCTCGGGGATGTCGTCGAGCCACAGGGTGCGTTGTGTGGGTTTGTGTCGGCGACGGCGTCCGTTGTAGACGCGGGTGATGGCAGAGGTGTCAAGTGTGTCCACTGTGAGGTGTGTGGTAGAGGAGTGTGGTTGTCGTTGTCGGTACCAGGTTAGCAGTAGTCGCCAGGCTGCTAAGAAGCGGTCTTTGTCGATGGAGGTGAAAAAACCGGAAAGGTCCTGGTTTCGGTAGTCCAAATGGGTGTGGCCGAGGCTTAGAAACTCGTGCAAGGACCGCATGAGTTCAAAGAGGTCGCCACCTGAAAACGCGTCAGGGCAAGCCGTGGCCACCATGCTGTGGAGGAGCTTGGCGAGAGCGTCGAGCATGGGTCGGAAGAAGGCGCCAATGAAACTGATGATGGGTCGGGCAGTGGTCCAGTTCTTCTTCCTCTTCGGGAGGATGTAGGCGTTGGCTGGCCTTCCGAATCCGGTCACGGTCCAAGGATAGCGGCCGCGGAATCTGGTGACAATGGTTTCTCGTAGTCGTTGGTGGATTTCAATGGCAGGGACCGGCAGAGGGGCGAAGATGGCAGGGTCCGCAAAAGTGGCTTCCAACATC